CTGTTGCTCCTGCTACATTCCAGCATCCCATGACGACTGTTAAAGAACATACAGCCCCTTCGGCAACAGTATCAGCGGCTTCGTCGACTGATGTCCAGGATTGTAGTGTCGAGGATTCCATCCGTTCAGTTGGTGTCGACAAAGGTACACAGACTCTTCCAACAGAGCAGATGACAGAGGCCACTCAGACCGAAGTGACCAAGAGAAGACGTTTGGATCGGTGTCAGGAAACATATCAAAAGGACGGAAAAAAATGTAGTAGAGACCCATGAAGAAGAACTCTGGTTTTAGTGGTCAAAACTGTAGATATGGCAAATAACATTGTAAATTTAAGCAGAGAGCTTAGTGTGTTCTAATGTTTATTGGACCTGCGCAAAGTCAGTCAAGAAGACTGTTTCATGGTGTAAATAATAATGAACATATGTAATATTGTACGCCTTTAGTTTTTCTTTATTGAGGAATGCGAGACGCATTTCCTGGAGGCGTGGGTAGTGAAGCAAAACTGTAATCGAGATCATATTATCCTTTCATTTCTCGGTAGTTGCACTGACTTCCGGTTTCTTGTTTCCTTTAGGTTCTCCGCAGGTCATGTGACCTGTTGTAGGTATAAATACGGAGACAATCGGTTGTTTTAGTTAGTCTGTTGCTGACAGCTGAATTGGAAAGACGGTTGTATACAGAGAAGTCAAACGTGGTAGGTACTGCAAGGAATACCTTGAATCAAGTCTTATGTGTCTGAAATAGACTTTCGAGACTTTGATTGATTATATATTATTTAGATAAAGTACCTGATATTCTGGTTTGACTGAAGGTAAGAAGCGGATGCGCTTCAGTCCTTGGAAGGCGCGTGCACTCCCGAGAAACGAAGGAGTAATTGTACATACTATTAATTTAAATTTGTGATTGAGAAAATTAATTTATTATTTAATTGTTCAGACAGAACAGCCGAATCCCATAAAAGAACCCGAAAACGTTACAATATATTTATGTTCCCCAAACGAAGTTGGGGAACATATTGTTTTTACTCTGTTTCTTATTATTAAGGTCTTCCGTCTTCACGGAAGACCTTATAGTGATTCTATTGTTTCTTCTTCTTCTTATTATTATTATTATTTTTCCGTACACCGAATTTTGTGCACGCGATTTCTCGAAGACTACTGGGTGGATTTTCATGAAATTTACAGAAATTATGTATTATTATCTGAAGTTATTTTTTCCGAGAGATTTTTTGAAAATTCGCTTCTGGTGCCAAGTTACGGGACATTTTCTGAATTTAAAATGACATTTTGTCTACGGTTAATCTCAAGAACGGTAGAAGATATAAATGTGAAACTTTCAGGGATTATAGATCGTGATATATACTATCCAGGACGCGACCTTTCGTTCGTCGTCGTTACTTCCTGTCGTTAGGAGAAACGAATTAAAAAAATTGTATTTTCTAACTTTTTTGATTTTCAATATTTTTTATTTATTTTTGGAATATTAATAGAGACCCTTCTATTGATGCTCACTATATAAGTTGTTTGAATATTGGTTAATCTGAACTCTAGATATTAATATTTGAAAATCTGAAGCGGGCCCAAGATGGCGTCTGCCTCTGTCAACTCCGCCATTTCGCGAGTATGGGTTTATGGAGGCAGCTGAGCGTTTGATTAAACCATTCAGACATAAGGATACATGAAATATAAAAAACTACTTGGACTTTCACGTAGTAGTACGTTGTAATTACGTGTCAATCTTAAAACTTAATTTCCGTTTCACTGCCCCAGTTTAACTGGGCTAGATACGATATGTAATGTGTACAATGTGTTAAATATACTTTCTTAACGTCGAAATAAAATAAAGGCCATAAGAACGTTTTATTTATTTAATTTCATTGAAGCTATCACACCTATTTAATAGATCAATCCAAAGAAAAGGCGCGAATATTTACTCGTGGCGTTTGGCGCGTAATTATCAATAGTGGCCCGCCTTTTATAATTCTTAAATAGGTGTACTGTTGCAAATGTATACACAAGTATATTTAGAGCAGTGCTCCCAATAGCTTAATGGTTTGCGCGTTAATAGATCACGTAGTAATTACGTTACAATTCTGTGTCAAACTAAAGATTTATTCCAGGGTCTTCTCAAACGTCTTCTGTAACTGGTTTTGGTTGGTTCTCAAAGTAGAAAAAGAAAAGACTAAAGGTGCAAATGAGAGATACCTATATTATCATTTGTTTTGCAAGACGGAAAAACAGATCTTAAATCATAGTTATAAGTTATAGTTTTTCAAGAAACAATAACGATGCATGTAGAGTAAGTATAAAACGTATAACCACTGTTTTTCCCATGCACACTTGTGTGATATTAAACGAATAGAAAAGACAGAAATAAGAAAACCATTTTAATGAAATCATCTAATGGAGTTTATATTAACATTCTTTTCTCAAAGATCTGAATCAAGTTATTGAACATAAATGATATCTGATTCCTTGACTGTCGTAGAGCGAGGCATGTTTTTCGGCGAAACATTTCAACCTTTTTATGAAAGTATAACTAATCGGCATAGTACATTTCTGAGACGGGAAATAAAAAAAAATTAAAATTATAGTCATTTCACTGCTTTTGTGTTACTTTTCTATAGAATGTGTACAATGTGTTAAAAATATTTTCTAAACCTCGAAATGTAGGCAATGAGAACATTCTTTTTTCTTAATTTCATTGAAGCTATCATACCTATTTAATAGATCAGTCCAATGAAAAGGCGCGAAGATTTAACGTGGCGTTTGGCGCCAAATTATGAATAATGGCCTGTCTTTTATAATTCTTAGACAGGTGTACTGTAGCAAAAGTATACACAAGTACATTTAGAGCAGTACTCCCAATTGGGTAATGGTTAGCGCTTTTGGGATAAAACGGGAAAAAGCGGATTGGATTTTCACGCTGGCGACCTGGATTCAATTTGTGACCAAAATTTTTAATCACTTCTCAGCTCGACTTCACGAGTTTTTTTTTCCAGAATTGGACGGAAGACCTCTCGTTGCTCGCAACGAGATCGTTTCTAGTTATTATTATTTTTCTTCTTCCTGGGTACTTTTTTGTCCAGGAGTGATCTTGTAAACTACACATCCGACTTAGGTAAAACCTTTTTAGGGTCAGTAGGCATGTTATGTAGATTTGCGGAACGAAGGTCATTTTGCGCGCACGTGCTTGCAAGAGCATGCACGTGCAACACGTGAAATGAACGATTTAATTGATATAGGCGTAACTTTTCACATTTTTGATGAAATGCTTTGAAACTCATAATATAAGGATATATGAGTAGCATAGACAATATGACATGGTCAAAATAGCCAGATCTCACGCGCATGCACGTGCGCTTCGCTCTGATTGGCTGAAACTAAAGTCTCAATATCTTTCTTGTTTTTGACGAAATCCTTTGAAATTTTGAACATAGCCATACATTATAATATCCTACAACATGATATATAGCAATTATCATGAAAACACGTGCATGCACGTGCGCTGCAATCTGATTGGCTTAAACTTTAAATAGCTATAACTCCCTTGATTTTCAACCAAACAGGATGGGATTTGGAACATAGATAGGTATAATGGACCTCTACAAGAAGGTATGGTCACCATGTACATGCATACACGTGCGTGAACGTGTGCTGCAATCTCATTGGCTGAAACTTTAAACAGCTATAACTCCCTTGGTTTTCAACCAAACGGGGTGGGATTTAGAACATAGATAGATGTAATGGACTTCTACAAGAAGGTATGGTCATCATGCTCATGTATGCACGTGCATGCACGTGAAATGAGTAAAATCCAAAATACACTTGAATGAGCGTATTTTTTAATACTTTTGGATTAAATACTTTAATATTTAGTATATTAAAATAAATAGATTGTGTAGGCAATATGATATGGTTATTACGCACATGCATTCACACGCGCACGCCTGCAATGCTAAAATTTGAATGAACTTGGTACACTTCTGGGTAAATGTTGTTAAAATCTCAAATGCATAGAGTTTGTCTTATTTAATGAAGCTTACAGGGGATATGGCACCAAAGGGAGTTGGGGAGCGTTTGGGGAACATCTGTAACGGTCCCCGTTACAATTAGGACTAGTTACAGTAGGTTTAGATTCCTGTTTTTTTCCCATGCTGGTTGCACTCAGGGCTGTTTTTAAGTCATCTGAGTAAACTCGGGTGACCTATTGTTATCTGTTTTCATGAGTCGTGTGTTAACATTTGAACTTTTTCAGCTTCTTCTCTGCAACCACTCAAACAATTTCAACCAATTTTGGCATAAAGCATCTATGGGTGAAGAGGAACAAAAATTGTTCATGATCCCTGCCCTCCTAGGCCTTGGGCCGGCGGGTTGGCACAAAAATCACTAAAATTAATGCAATCTTTAAAAATCTTCTTTACTCCTGGATATCAAGCAGTCAAACTATTGGCATGATTGTAATCAGCATTGAGCCCACTACCAAACTTGTGAAATTCATGGCCCCAGGGTCAGGGGTTCTAGTGCTAGGGCGGGGCTTAATAGATTATATAGTAAAATTGCATTAATTCTTTGAAAATCTTCTCTGCTCCTGGAAATTAATTAAACTAACCAAGTACATCTCGAATAAAGATGCCTCTTCCAAAACTGTGAATTCTATGGCTCCAGGGCCAGGAGTTCTTGCGTTAGGGCGGAGTTCTACTGATTATAAAGTTAATATACATAAATTCTTTGAAAATCTTCTTTTGTGCACTTGGATTCTTACGAAATGCAGAGTCAATCCATCAGTATGAACTAAGACTGTTACAAAAATGCATGTTGAGACAGTGTGAACCGACATTTTAGGTTAAAATATTATTTTAAAAGAAAATAGAATCATGTTTTAACCCTAGAAAAACCAACGGGGGAACAACGTTAACAAAAACAAGCCCCGGGGTTGAATATGGGGGGGGGGGGTTGGTCCTGTCCACAAGTATGACTGATGAAAATTGAAAAGTAACGATACTTTTCAATTTCGTTCACAGAGTAACCTAAGACATTACGGAAGTAGTGCTATTCAAACACTGCAGTTGTGTTTGAGCTCAAACACGTACAAAAAATGCATTTGCTAAATGTTTATTTTGTCAAATGACAATTACAATGCAAAGTTATCTCCTCTTCCCTGGACTTGCGTTACTGTTAAGATAGTTATAAAGATCTGTTAATCCAGCGTACTCTGACGTTTGACAGTGGTAGGCCAGGTTCAAGGTACAGCTTCTCTTTCTGTAAAAGATTGAAAATATGACAACTTTTGCTTTCAATCTACCGATTATGAAATCATGTAATCATGAGTAATTAACAATTTTTCCATCTCTAAAGCAGATCAAAATGCGTTTGAAAATGGGGGGGGCAACCATTCAATTCTAATGTGGAATCATGAAAAAACTGATTTAAATTATTTTAATTTATTTGGTAAGGAATATATTATTTTATTCAAAGATGATTTATATTCTTTTTCAATTAATAAAAAATCACAAAGCTCAAAAAATAATACTATCATCTTTTTTGGAAGTGAGCGGAGGTTGGGATAGTAACACTTGTCATTTGGTAATAACAAATTATTTTCCCGCCAATAGTGGAGGGCAGAACACTTGTATTTATTTTCAAAATATGCTAGCCCTCACCTTGTCACAATGTCGTTCCATTAATTTAAGTGAATAAGATTTAGCTCTCTATTATAAAGAAATCTATATTAATATCTATATAAAGATGTATAGCTGTTTGAGAATTTTTACGAAAAATATATACCGTTTAACATGAAAGGGGGGAGGGGCATTGGCCCAGACGAGGTAACAATGTATCTTTGCACAGAGGGAGTCTTCCAAAATTTAAATAATTTTTACGTCTAATATCTTGAATACAAAAAGTACTAGTAGTTCAATTTTTAAGTAGGTCAATCTTTGTTCTTTCTACGTACATTACCTTCGGAACCGGGGGATAGAGCTTATTCCCCCACTTTTTTGCAGAGACCGACATAATAAAGACATTAACATTGAAGATAGGGGCGTAGGTTTAGCCCCCCTCCCCCAACTTTCAACAGGCACGTTGCAATATAGTGAAAGAAGGTTAAGTGGTAGTGTTTGGGGAAAACTTTGGCACTGAAAAAATAACACCCCATCCCCTCTAGAAATAGATTTTTCAGGTTTGGACAATACTGAAAGTTTTCTTTTTTTTTGCCAAGTTTTTTTCAGCTTTGATTTTTTTCTCTGTGAATAATCCCCCCACTTCCAAATTGCTTCCGACGCCAATGGCTTCCTAGATAGAGTTTCTCTTATGTCATACCCTACGTGTTCCTTCAGATCCCTGGCCCCGACCAACAACAAGTAACATGCAAGATTTCACTTTGATATCATTGGAGAATTCAAGCAGAAGCTACCATTGCCATTTTCGTACTTTTTTCTGAAGTACATTGTAACTAAGAATGCTTAAGAAGTCATGAAATGGAGTACATGTATGCACAAGAGAAAATCTGGGGGATAGTTTAATCTATGACGAGCAAGGTGCTAAATGCCCGACTGGTCAGTATGCGGGGTGAGTGTGTTCACTTTTTCTGAGAATAATCTTTTGCTTTACTTCAAATATGTAAGTTTTTATTTAAATGCTGCCCCTTTTTGTTACCGGAGTTTTAAATTATGCAAAATCCATATGAAACCACATAAGGAACGAAAAGTTAGAAAATCCCACATTGCCTTCCAGAAATAGGGTGTATGAATGTGGTGCACATTTTTAGCTCACCTGAGCTGAAAGATCAAGTGAGCTTTTCTGATCACCCAATGTCCGTCTGTATACTTTCACATTTTCAACTTCTCAAGAACCAATGGACCAATTTTGACCAAATTGGTACAAATCAATCGTTGGTGAAGGGGAGTTGAAATTGTAAAAATGAAGGGTCATGTCCCCTTACAAAGGGAGATAATCAAGAAAAAGGAAAAAAAAATGGGTGGAGTCCTTAAAAACTCTTCTCAAGAACCACTGGGCCACAAAGGCTAAAACGTACGTGGAAGCATTCTTGGGTGGTGTATATTCTAAAGTGCTAAAACCATGACCCCAGAAATAGGGCGGGACAATAGGGAATCCAAGTTTAACATTAAAATATATTGAAAAGTCTTCTCAAAAACCATTGGGCCATACAGTTTCAACTGAAACTTCGGGGAAAGTATCTTTGAGTAGTGTAGATTCTATATTGTTCAAACCATGACTCCCGGGGGTAGGGCGGGGCCACAAGAGGGAATCCAAGGTTTATATGGTAATATAAAGGAAAAATTTAAAAATTTTCCTTAAGAACCAACGGGCGAAGAAAACAGTAACTTACGTAGAAGCATCCTGTGGGTGATTATGTAGATTCTGAATTGTTAAAATTATGACCCGGAAGGGGATGGGGGGTTGGTCAGGGCCACGAAAGGTATTACAAGAGGAAAATCTGGTCAAGAACGGCATCAACAAAGTTACTCAGGTGAGATATGTGGCATATGGGCCTCTTTTTTTATTTTGCCTATCACTTCTGTTCGGAGGTTGGCCCTTTTGAAAACCATTGCTACGGACGTGCAGGCCTGTGGTGTAATTCTATGCATGAATGTTTAAGGCATCTCTCTGATACCCTGTTTCAAAAATTGCTTGATCCGCATCTGAAGCTCACAAGTCGATAAAACAATACAAAGTAGGAGCGGGATCAAGGACGGACCTCCAGAACATGAGATACGATCAGGTGCCGTAGAGGAGTGAGCATCCCCTGCCGACCGGTCAAACCCGCCGTATGCTCCTTGTCGTGATCGGAAAATAACGAAAAAATCAGTATTGTACAGACCATAGATTTTAAGAAATGATGACTTTAAACGAGACTGCTGATATTCTTGTTTCATTAACAGAGCATGCTCTTGCGTATCGAATCAACTGATAGTTGCAGGTGATGAAGGTTATTTGCTGCATAAGTACGAGAAGTTGACGATTAAAAGTTATAGTTATTACGTTTATCATCGAGATTGGTTGTTAGATTACCATTAACATATTTATCAATTAAAGTATCCAAATGTCAAACAGAATGTGTCAGACTCTGTGGTATTTTTTTTATCTCAAGCTCACCAGGATATTATCATATCGACATAAGAATGGGAATAACCATTTTTAATTGACAATACAAAATAGATTTATCTAAATTTCCAGTTGACGACTTCAGAGAACGTTTTCCTCTTTTCACGTTAAGATTTTGGACAAAGTCTGTTTCATATGAACACAAAATTAGGTCTGTTATAACGGGGCACAATTGGTACCTATCGGATTTCCAATAAATTACTACAAGACCTGGTCTCCGAAAACCACATAGATATTGTCGATCAGAAACTCGAACAGAATCTTTTATATATAAACTTCCGAGTACTTCTATGTACAGTCAGAATGTTTTAACAAAATAATTTTGCAAAACTACAAAAGAATCATTAAATTAAGGGACAAAATTTGTTTAAGATTTCAATACTATTTTCAAAAGAACCTATAAGCTTACCAGGAGGAGCGAGAAATGTTACATGTAAGCTTGTAAATCAAGCGCAAACTACATGTATTGTAAATTAAATCTAGGTACATCCTTAAAAGAATGGTAATTTATTTGAAGTACAGGTGTCCCAAGAGTTCTGATGCATTTAGTAACTATGTTGTTTAGCCAAAGTTTTTTTTCAATTTATTAGCGCCGTTTATGAGCAAACCAAAATCTTAGAATACATTTATTTACAAGTTTCGATTCGGAAATTTAAGAATAAAAGATACTTTAACGTTGTTCCTAATTCAACTTATTGTCATATCGGTAAAATATGGCTTTATAACTACCCCATTATAGGAAAACTCCTATGTGCAAAAAGTAATTTTAACCAGATTGGGACTGTACTCACTTTTCTTGATGAACTGTTTTAGAAACTTTATTTATAATCTCTTGGATAGATTGGAGAGCTTCGTTCTTTCTTAATAGATCTTCAACAAATCTGGAAAAAATAAATATTAGATTCACTTTTCTCTAGGATAATTGCTGGAGGATATGCCTTTAAGTATGATCCCTCAACTTTTGTGTACAAAAAATAGTACAAGGAGAGAAATTAATATATTACAATATGTTGCTGAGTTGCAAAATATTAACATGATTAAACATTAACATGTATCTTGTAAAATGTGAAATCAATTTAGATTTTCCCGTTATTTCTTTCTCGACGACTTATAGACGAAATGCAAACCTTTATTATTGTTAAAATTTTGCCAGCAAGAAATTTGAGCAAATACAGGTATATTTTAAGTAATACTCTAAATTTCGGAATGTTTGTGTTTGTAAAACTCGCTCTATAATCAATGAATTAATGGATAGTCAGTTGTTTTAAAATGATCCATCTTTTTAATAGAAATTTGCCTCTCTCGAATGACTGATTAAAATCGACCCGTAGCAAATCTCCAAAAAATATTTAATTCATTCCAAACTTTAATTTTCTTGTTCCAGAAATAACTATTATTATAAAATATGAAATAACTATCATTCGCAAGTGTTTCTGTATTGTTTTTTAAATGAAGCATCTAATCTACCCACCTCATTCTTTTTACCCCTGTCGGGTGTAGGCAAGATGAGCTTTATTTGGATTAATTTGAAAACGGTTTATATTTAGATTTAAAAAAAATTCATTAATAATTATTTACATATTTAGTGGACTGTCAGCACTTCGTGTTTGGCGCCGTTTCCCAGGATTCCCCTCTACTAGGCCTTGTAAGTTGTTTTGGTGATCTGCTGTTTGTTCTATGTATTTTTCAGCACATATATCTACATTGAGACTAAGGGCACACGCTTCTCTGAAAGAATGAATAATTACGATTATGATCGTTCAAATGACAAGAACAGTATGGCATGCAAAAACTGAAATTCTAAATAAAACCTGTTAAAACTAAGTTAAATATATCTCTTTTCAAAAGATCAACACTGTGGGTTCTATAGTCAATCTTAACACACTAAATAAAACGATTTTAATAAAATTATGTTAAATACACTTCTTAAGTTTAATTTTTATGAAGTAATACAATGTACATTTGTGTATTTACATGACTGTATTACAGTTATGTTATTTTACGTCCTGTTTGTTATATGAAGTTAATGTCATACTTTCTCATTCATGCACGCTTAAAGCAATTGGTTTCTTTCAAAAGCACAATTGATATTTTTTTTAGCAAAGATATCGGTTACTGTGTTATTATTGGTCAAAATAATGCATCTATTCGGTTCACTTCAATATTAATATTAAAGTTATTTCTTCGTTCATTCGGAGGTTTTTTGTCCCCCGCTTTCGCGAAGAGGTGGGAAATTAAGTCTCATTCTCTGTCCGTCAATCAGTCTGTCCATGGATATGTTACAAGAACTTTTGATTAAGAAGAGATTTAGGACTTTCATATTTCAGTTGTGCATTACCACGAAGACACAGAAGGACCACAATTCTAACAAAGCCAAGATAGATTATTGTAATATTTAGCATTTCGCTTCATGATCATTCCCTGTAAAAAGAATTCCACGAGACTTTCAAAATTAATACTCCTTTTAAGCGCCTTTATTACTTTCACAACAAATGGAACAATAATTTTCTTTTTTTGATACGGTACAGATTATGAAGTCAATAAAATTGTCCACTGTTATTGATAATATTAAGCAAAGCTACACACATTATCTGTAATTATATACATACAATTACAACCTTGAAACAAAATTGTGCATTCTCTTCTCATTCTCTAGCTGTAGTAACGTTAGCATAAATTAAAATGCAACTTATGAATATTGTGTGTACACCACGTATTACTTTTCATAATTATTTCATAAATGTCCGAGAATTATGTTTACTGTATGTTCTTTGTCTTATTTGTGTTTATATATAACTTTAACATGTTTGATTATCCTGTCATTATTTTTTCTATATATATGACCTCTTCTTTTTCTCTACTGAATGTTATGTTTTGTCTTTAATAGGGAGGTTAACTAGTTAAGTCAACTAGGTGTCCATGTTTTTACTTGCAGGTTTATAAAAGGTTTACCTTTGCGTAAAAGCCCTGAGTGAATCTACTGTGTGTGCTAAATCTCCCAATTTCTCGCGCACTCTGTCCAATTGATCAACCAAACTATATAAGAAAAGAATACACTATCTTGAAAGTCATATATTATACATCAAATATTGCATGATTAAAAAAAAAGCTTTACCCTGTTATTAGAATGAAATAAACAACGCATTGACTCGTCTAAAAAAATACGGTATGGGAAAGGTTAATAAGTACACTGAAATATATCTGTAACAGTCATACATACTGTTTTTCCCGTAAATGCTGTGTTTTAATCTCAACTGATGATGTTGTAACGATGAAAAATAGCACTGACAAAACTGATGTTCTCATTCCCTCCATTATGATCAAATCCTGAAATTAATTCATCAAATATCATTTGACATTTATTAATTTTTGTTACATCATTTGGCATTCATCTATTTTCCCCTCTGTGTTAACATCACGCTTGTCACATATTGATGATCGATTATGCGAGATTTGAGGGCAATGAATGCCAACAGCGCAACATTTGAAATATGTACACACTTTATATGACAATAGTACTGCGTCAGTATTCCGGAATAGTTTACTGTACATCTGTATCATAAAATTACGCAATAAAGTTATACAATATCAAACAGCTGATTAAAAAGAATAAAGTGTATAAAAATGTGTATGCATGTAATGTGCATGTTTAATTTCCTTTCAATGTAAGATACACATGGAACGATAAAAAGGCAAATTTCTCCAAAACCAATTGATTATGTGTCAGACAAAATAGATAATAACATTAATTTTCTTTATTTGTACCTTTTTTCATTTGCATCGAATGTCCGTTTAAATAGATTAATTTGCACACATTTGTGACATTTAACTCATCATGACTTTCAAATAAATTGGTCTTTTTTACGCTGATCGGTATAAGCAAATAAAACCCTATGTTATATGAATCCCGCTATTCTCACCGGTCTTTCCTTTGCATACATTAATAAAATATTGACACTTGTTTATAAAAAGAATTAGATAACTGCCGATTTTATATGAAGAATGCAAATCAATGAATAGTTTTTAATACTAACAAATGAAATAGTTCATAATTGTGACACTTCCAGAATAAATAAAATACAAATATTTTTCCGAGTTAAATGAAAACATAATTTCACACGTTTTTCTAATAGAGAAGAGACAATAATAACATTTATCGCTAGTGCGACGATTTTTGACACAAAATAATTGAATCTAACCTGTGACGAAGTACTTTTGCACATTTAATCTATATTGTAATACAAGAGTACGTCATTACATTGATGAAAATTATTTATTTTATTAATAAATAACAAAATCCTATTATTTCAAAGAAAACGTGATCGTTGCAATCTTTTTCTTGAGTATAGACCTTGTCATAAAAAATTCAATTCAGTCTACCGATTTACTAAAGTGTACATTGTAGCTGGGTTTGATTGTTTCTTGAAGGACATCTGGTCCAAGTGAAAATGTTAATAATGCCACGAAAGAACCGGCTTTCCATTTCCCTAGAATCTTCGAATCATTACGATCAACAATTTTGGAAACAATTTGGCGAAGATTTGATTTTATCAAGATGTTTTCTCACTTTGGCGTGTTTAATTATTAAAACAGACGCAAATTGAGCGATAATCGTCTTCTTAAATCGAAATAATTTGTAAAGCGTAATCAGGTATCAGCTGGCGAGATTTTGGACAAGTTAAAGATAATCGCAAATTGAGTATTTTATCCGGAAATCCACTCGACAACTGATGATTGCTCAGGGAAAAGTTGTTCAAATAAAACTCCGAAAACGCCTTCCTTTTTGGTGCTGAAACTTTAACGCAAAGTGTAAACTGCTTCTAAAGAGGCAATAAATCTAATTACTGTTTTGTTCTATTAGCTTTACTCTTAAACTGTACAATAAATGTTCAACATGGTAAATACACGCAACTGAAGAGAACAAGACGAAAAGTCCCTAGAGAAATGATTGTAGATGGATTAATTTAGTGTAGAAAAAGTTATTAAACTATAAATGAGATCTGGCACGATGCCATTCAATCTCTTCTAATCTTAAGGATCATTTTCACAAAGAGCTTTTTGTATCATAAGAACAGAATCATTTTTCGGAATATGTAAGTCAATGAAGATATCAGGGTATTGTATTAAAAGGAACAGAGAGCATGTGGTCGTTGTTTACAGAACTGGCCTAATGATGTTTGAACACCCGTAATAACTGCTAAACGGCCGTGTTCTCTCAACATATGGCCTGTCTTTGGAGGAGTATTTTATTCTTTATTATATGTCAATATATCATAAAAAGACGTTTGACCGGATTGCCCGAGTTCAATACAGTATTCAATAGCAAAGGAGAATAATGTCATTTATTGCTGATAGTACTGTCTGGCTTGACATATTTATATACCCTGAAATAATTTAATACTTGAGATATTTGCTAATATTCTCGGGAATACTATATCAAAATATAATCAATCGCCTTACTTGCAAAAATATTTACGCATAGTTCTATAATTATAGTACGGTATCTCATTTAAAATCACCTTCAATATCAAGGTGTCAGATTAATTTCATTACCTTCTGAATAAACTCGAGTCTAAACATAAACGTTTAACATAACTTGGGTTTCCAAGTAAAAGTACAATAACGTCATCACTGATGTTCTTTGTGCATTTCCTCTTAGTACTAAATTTTAAAAAAGATCTTATTCATTTTTTGTAGGAGGGGATTATTTATTCTCTAAATATGAAACTGAACTACATTTTTGTATACAATGTATTTTTAATCACTGTAACAAGCTCCTTAATTTTTTGTTAAAATGTTTTGTTTGGTTCATGGTACTCTGTTCAGAGAGTTAAAATAAAATTTTGACAAAATATTTGTTACATTTTGCGCAAATTTAATCGTACTTCAATTAAAGATTTCTTCTGGGAAATCAAGTTTAATACCTCAATTTTTTTACTTGAAAGAACAGAGGGGTTATGATCTAGAAAACGAAATATCAACAGAACAGTCAATACGGATGCTTTGATGTACTAGTAATATTTAAATCGCACAGGTAATTTCTAACAATTTATTTTTGGTGTGTTTTTCAATGAATTTTAGTGCTATGTAATCTTAAAGAACATATATTTTTTCTTTCTTTTTGTTATTGCTGCCCGTGTTTGAAGTTTGAGAGAGCATATTGTAAATTTGAAATTACCTTGTCTGTATATCTCCTGACGTTTAAGTCCAAGAATAAATTCTTCGTATAAAACAATACTAAACATATCCTCATGGTGTGTCAAAATGAGCAGGAAAAAAATTACTTCCATTTAATCTAATTACACCTTTCACATACGAAATTAAAAAAGAAAATTGAAATTTTTCTCTTAAATCTCAAAAAAAGAAGCTTTTGGATTAATGGTATGGTGGCTGTGTAATGTATAATGTACAGTGTATTGACATATATGTTCAAAGTTTTATTTCAAGCTCTTACCATTCCTTAAATCTAAAAAAGCATCAACAGTATTATTCAAATAGCAAAATAGTCGTACTACATGTACATTTATCAACGAAAATCATTACAGAATATTTTTATATCAAAATTAATATAAATAAGGAAAAAAAGACATTAAGTCGAAAATTAACTTTTTTCATTGAAATATGAACTACTTTATTTATAACATTTCTATATATCCTTGGACAATTTAGTCAAAATTCGATATAACATTTATGACAACATGCCATTCGACAATTAAGTAAAAAAAAATTTTTAAATATCTATCTAGGCACGAAGAATATGTTAAAAAAAAAAATCTCAAGTATTTGACTTACCCACGATATATCCCGCTATATCCCTTGTTTCCTGTTTCTCAAAGGTGTCTACAGGTTCTGCTTTTTTATATAATAACTTTGGCTACAGTCACACCTTTTTTTTAAATAAACAAAATTAATGAGTAAAACGCCTAAGTTAAAATTATTTTTGGCCAAAGGGAGGGGTTAGATACATGCGCAAGCACACCCCTCTGTCCCAGATGTTTAATTGCTATCGTTAAGTTGTCGTATTGTACAGGTTTCCTAGCCAGCACTAGAGTCTTGGCTAATAATCCCCTTGCAGCTTTTTGAATTTCATCAATATAGGCCAATACGTGACGTCACGAATCAGAATTTTTATAATTTAAGAGTCAAATGAAGTATTCGACAGTCAGAATGCTCGAGTGATATCCATAACTTCACACCATAGCGACAAAGAGAAGAAAGTCGTTCACTATTATATGTTCAACTCGCCATGTAGAGTAAAAGGGATGCTGGGTCTACCGATGCTCTTCAGCTGATCTAGGTAACCGGCAAGTCCCCTGATCAGACTCTATGTTATACGGTTACCTGATGTGATATGATCACAGTGATGCTGTCTGCAGTGTTCCACACATAGAATGTGCTGCTATACGATACATTTTATATCGGAATTTGTTTAGATAGAAGAAAACTTTCTAAAAAGAAAAAATCTTGGAATTCAGTATGCTCTGAAACAGTTTTTTTTTTAAAACAAAACCCTCTAAAATTAAAAACTATATATACTGTAATGAGATAATATAAAGAAAGGTGAAATCCATAAAAAAAAATTATCAATAATCTAAATGGAAAAATAAATTTTTGCATACACAAGTAAATAGAACTGTTTAAAAGATTTTTTTATTTTTCATTCAAAAAGTTTAACAATAATTGGATTTTAAGTGAAGTGACAAAGACCTGCATGAATAAGAATGGTTGCAGAAAGGTAAAATTTAAAACAGCATGGAAACTTTATTTTCTTTTTACCGTATGGTTTTCTCAGAGGAGGAGGTAAACTTAGTTCCCTGGTCTAAAGATTTTATAAAGAGCACTTATTTCTATATACACAGATCCATGAGTATTATATGTGTGGCATGCATGTTTTATCTTTGATTGTGTCATATTTTATAATATGTTGTTTAAAATTAGAGGGCCCCGGGGAAGAATAGTACTTTGAACTGATCGGGTTACATGTACCTTCTTTAAAGAAAGCATTCTTCTTCTTATTATTATTACTATTATATCATCGGAAACATTAGTAGATCTGTAGTAAATCTTTTAAATTCCATAATTTCATCTTTATGACAATTTCAAACAACCAGAATCACATTGATCTTTTGTGACAATTGATGTTCCCTACATTACATTGTATCTAATAGATAAGTTCAGTTCTTCGCTTTTAGTACTAATTAATGAATTCATTTTTTTTAAAAGTTAAAATAGTTAAAAATTGTTCATTATTTTAATCTGTAACACTGCTTTTAAAAATTTAATTTACCTGTACATGTATTTGATGATTTTTACAGTTAAAACCATTTGCTCACTTAATTATTACAACGTACATCTTTCAAAATATACTTTTGAAACTCCAGTGCAGCATTAGCAACCAACGTGGCGAGAAATGCTGGTAAACAAAGACGCAATACCTTCCCCAAGCTACATTAAAACGTACTAAAGTCAGGAATTGTGCTTTCATCATCTGTACATGTATATCAGACTACATGTACTTATACGCAAAAAAGTGTCATTATTTTTTACTTCCCTATTACGCCACGTCTCAAAAACATAAACTCTACTACGAGTGAAGATAAGATTTCAGTCTCCTAGCTATGAAATATTTTTTACTAATAATGGAAATATGTACAGTGTACTTATAAGAAAAATATTAGACACAGAAATAATTCATTTTACCGAGTTTTTTTTAAAGATGTAATCAATTTGTATCTGTGTGAATAACAGACATTCATAATCAAGCAAATATATTCTTAGAGTAAGGAATTTTAAGTTATTTTGAAAAATAAAAATGGACTTATGAAAGTTTATTTTAAGCCAAAATCAAGAGACCTAATAAATATTTGTTATAACTGTGTGATTATTTTTATTTCAGAGCATGACTTAAATAAAATTTCAATACAAACTACTTGGTACGTTTTAGTAGATTTTAAGACCTCGAAGAAATAAACCTAAGGAAATAGAAATATTTAGCTTACGTAAGCCGATGTATATTAAGGACAGATGATACAAACAAATTTTTTCTTTGAAAATGATTTAATATCATGTCAAAAGTTTAAAAAAGTAGATGGTTCCTAGATTTTATTCTCCCAAGAACTGGAATATGGAATACACTTAGAAAATATTAGTAATATTTCAATGAAAAAACAAAAATAGACAAATCACATTCAATAAAGGTTTACAGGTTAAAAATTTCGCTTGGTGTTAATATATTAAACTCAAGAAAAATATACCAAGCCAGGTGAATTTAATTCCCCATTTTCAAAAGTGAGTTATCTACCCTCAAAATCGGAACTCTTCTACACTAGCATAACTTCCACGGACTACGCGTTACGATAATCCAACAAAATAGTGATCAACTTACACGCTGCATTTAAAAATTTTAAAGGAAGGAAACGGTTTGCAATGTATTTTTAGATAATAAGCGATTTTATATTTTTTTTCATGAAAGCTAATTAGCCTGGCAAATATCTTTAGAAGTGTATTTTTTTTCTTACCTGGAAAAGTTGAAAAATAAAAACCTTGCCACAGAAATAATTCATTTTACCAGTTCCCTGGCATACAATTTTTCCCTTATATAACTTTACCGTAATCAATTTGTGTGTGTGTGAATAACAGAACATTTTCAATAATCAAGTTGGGAAATATATTCAGATCTGTTGCTACGTGCCTGTTAGCTGGTAAACAACTTCATCAGAAACCATTACGTTTAAGTTATTTTTTTTCTTTTTAAATCTGGTGGTCACCCTTTTTCTATTTTTCTATTCTAATATGCACTATATGTTATTAATAATGTAACTCTTTTGTCTCTACAAGCTTTTTTAATATGTCGTTTTCGACTGATACATATAAAGAGATGTTTCCTAATTAAATATTATAATCAATTTCGATTTCTGCTGTCAATTCTCTAATCTAAAAAAAATGTGTATTTTATTTATACATGTACTATTTTATGTAAAACTGTGTTTAAATGCAGCTTAGTTTATGAAATATTAAAACGAATTCAGGTCGATGCTATTTTAATTAGTCTTTCTTTGTTACATGAGCACATGAAATTAAATTATTCACTTAGAATTCCATTCAAAGTTTTAATACTATACAGTGAATCAATTATTTTACAAATAAAAAATTCTGGAAACACTGTTAATTCAAATGAAATAGGCCTTTAATTGTCACCAAATGTGTTCTTTAAGTAAAAGTTCTATGTTATGACATACAATAGCAAAAAACTCTTTATTTTTATACTATTTTGTATAGCAATTTTATAAAACTGTAGATGGACATGTCAAGTGTGCAAAAAATTCCTAGAGATGCAGAGAAGAAAATATGGCTGCAGCAGGCTATTTAATTCGTAAAAACTTTGTAACTAAAAATTCTTATATTTGTTTCGCATTTTGTAAATAATGATGATTATATAGAACATCCACTACCAAAATTTTTTGTTTATATATATATATATATATATATATATATATATATATATATATATATATATATATATATATATATATATATATATATATAACACACATATATATATATATATATATATATATATATATATATATATATATATATATATATATATATCCAAAATTTAAATATTCATAATCGTTAACAATTTTCTATAACACAAAAACCTTGTCACAGCGCGGTATTTTCAATACACAAGCTTATAAGCTACATGCATTTTCAGAAGCTTATAAGCTTCTGAAGAATGAAAGCGAAATATATATATTTTTGTGTTTTCACAATTTCATTTTTTAATATATATATATATATATATATATATATATATATACAAAATACAGCAAATGTGCATTTTAAAACTAATTTGTCATTTTATTTTTTTGGTCGCAATGTTTATTTGCAGATAAATACAAATCCAGAAAGAGACTATGAATAGGTAATTAAAAAAAATACGAATCAGTCTAAGATTTATTTTTATTCACAAACACAATAACATTTTTCCATATGACAGAGCACACCAAACATGTTTACATCGAAGGACGCTAAATTTAACATTAAACACAGAAGGAAATAAACAATTATGAAAATGGAAAATTAGAGAAATTGTAAAAATCAGCCTATGTGAAATTGCTATTTTTTTGTCAATTTATTCCTCCCCTTAAAATTCACCTGGCTTGGTATATTTTTCTAAAGTTTATATTACACTTTAAGCTCCAAGGTAACATATTCTGAAATTTGTTTTCACCTGTAAACCTTTACTGAATGTGATTTGTCTATATTTGTTTTTTCATTGAAATATTACTAATATTTTCCTAGTCTATTTCCTTTTCCAGTTTTTAGGAGAAAATATTCTAAGAATTATCCACTTTTCTAAACTTGTGACATGATATAAAATCTTTTTCAAAGAAAAAATTTGTTTGTATCATCTGTCCTTAATGTATTTTAAGTTGTGATATAATGTGCATATGGAGAAATGAGACGTAGAGCAATTGGAGAGCATCAATAAGGATATAGTAATTTACTGTTTAAATTTCCAATGTTTTTATAACGTTTCTTTTTGGTATTAAAAATAATTGCTCCGGTTGGTAAGGAACAAAAAACATTTATACAAAAAATCATTGCAAATTTATTTTGAGGATAGCTCCAAATTTTTATGTTTTAAATTTCAGGAGCATATATTTATTACTTTTAAAAATATTAACAATATCTTGCCATACAAATTTCCAGATCCGAGCTTCACGTTATCAATCACTAACACTAAACGAAAACAAATTTTACGAATTGCAAAAAAACTAGTATTTAAATCAGTATTTTCGAAAAATCGTTTTAAAAATCAGATATATGAAGTAATTAAATTTTTCAACCTAGTATAATTTCTCAATTTTATCATTTTTTTATATTAAGTGAAACAATTGCTCATAAGCAGTAAATAAATTTCATTTTACTATGATGCGCAAAATATTGCGCAATGGAAACTACAGTCGGCCCCCTTAAATAGTCATTTAGTAGTGCTATTTTTTAAGATAAAATACAGAAACCTGAACAAACGTGGCAACTTTGTACGCTAAAACAATACCATTGAAAAAGTCCAAGAATGTGCCTAGCTAAGCAAAATGAAGCGAAATATATTTATCAAAACTCTTAAGTACATGTACTTTGACATGTGCTCAACTCCACACATTCAAATTAATGCATCCACCAGGAATGCAAGTTGTACAAATCCAGTTTTCCTGTTATTTGTCCTGCAACATATCTGTTTTGAAGTCCCTTATCCCCCGTACTACATTGTATTACCTTTTCACCCATTGTCTGCAAGTACTGTTGTTTTCACAAGTCGATTCTACTCTGCAGGTCAGGTTTCCTAAAACTACATGTATATATATCTTCAAAGGATACGAACATTAATTTGTAGTGCAGAGACTGTTTGTGTCTCTCATATCAATGGTGACATCGACAAATAAATAATATACCTATTTAAGATATTATGGCTAGTGTACACCAAATCAAGCATCAATTCCAAGTTTTATCGACAGTTATGCATCAGAGAGGAACATATTTCATTTTTTGAAGGTTGCTTCTAAACACATTAGCTGCCGCTAGCCATTTGAAGATTTGAATAGATTTTATAATCCTACATTCTGATACAGTGGCGTAACTGATTTAAATTTAATGCAGTTGTACAACTGTTTTTCAGATGTTTTCTCCATAGGGATGTTACGGAACTTTTTGTAAGTCAGGAAGAGATGGATCGCGACATACGGCTTGTGTGGCAAGAATGAGGTATGGTTTGCCCCGTAGGGCATTGAACATAGGGCATGGTGTAAGGACGAAGGATAATTTGCAAGGAACTATGCCTCTGAAACCCATTTCTGATGCGAGAAAAGAAAACAGGAAACAGCAGGCGAAGCTCAACAAAGCGACAGCAGCTGCTACACTAGGAAATATTTTTGTTCGGTAATAAACAAACGAAAGAAACCAAGAAGTATTGGTCCAAGGGCAGGAACTGTTTTGTAGTTAGTCACTAGTCGTCCCTTTGGGGCATACATACAGAAGAGCAGTATTAATGAATATAAAATACTGTTTCATTTGATTATTTGTTGTTTAATTGAATTTAATCCGTGCTATTATGTATCTTATTTGTTATGAATAATTAACTGATTATTATTTGTTATAAATAATAGATTATTATATCATTTATCCTTAGGAGGAGGAGTGTAATAGAAATTAATTTTGTTGTAAACATTTATGCATTGTGTTTTAAATATTATAACTGTATAAGTAGTGTGTTCATGCATATAGTTACATGTATTTGTATACTGTATCAGCGTTTTGCTTCCATCAAATCTGTTTTGGTACGTTGCTTAGGTTTGATGATATGAATTCTCATATCAATACGGAACCTTTTTTCGTGTTAATTTCAGTAAAAGTTCATATCCTTGTGGTGTATTCACTTGATTTTAAGTTAAAGATTTTTTTGTTTCCAACAAGAATATAAAGCCATCATGTTGTAACTATTAAACACTTTGGGAATCTAGAAAGCATTAATTTGGTGTAAGTTTTCTCATTTTAGCTGAATAAGAAAGATTAATTTGGTATGCAACAGCTAAAAGTTAGACTACCCCACTCTGAATAATATGTTCATATATAAGTCATTTTGTCTAAATTATCGTCGTCTTTTGCACCTGTTAGATATATTGGGCCATAAGTTAAAAGTTGGGAGTCAGGATATTTCTAAATAACGGGTTTGGTGCCGTTGACAACTTATATTGACTTAGAAGTACTGCGAGGCGAAAACATTATAATGAAGGAAGAAAATTACGTAATTGTTCGGGACTTGGATATTGGTCTAGGTAGTTCAGACGATAGGAGGTACAGGGGTCCCGGATTCATTTCCCTATTCAGCCATGCATTTTCTCCTTTCCTGTTAAACAACGTAAGAATAACAAGCAGTATAATGTCAAGACTGCATATTTTTGTAACATACATGTGATTATGAATGTTTATTGCTTTTAATGGCTTTTTTCATATACAGTGTAATATAATAATAAGCAAATCTTACTATATATATACAACGTCAATCTGCGTCCTACAAAATCATGTTTCTAAAATCATGAGGAGTAATCTATCTACATAAACGAATATTCTATGTTCATTATTTTTTCACAGAAATATATTACGGGCGATATTGCCTTTTGATTGCAACATTGTTATACACTGTAAATACTTTTTAAAACTCTTTATTCGCGAGAACTTTATTTTTAAGAAAAAAGCGAATGTGTCTGCTTGCGAAAATTTAATTCTCGAGTAAATTTGTTTTATAAACCACAGCTTGCGAATAATTTGTCTCGCTTATACCAAACAAATACCAAGCAGCTAACGTGCGTAAATAATCACAAAATTTTTTTGTTGAACCCCCATTTTACATGTTATCAATTGCAACCTATCGTGATATTTTTTTTCAATATACACATGATGATAATGCAACAAATTAACAAAGCTGCAAAAATAACCTAATGTTATAAAAATAGATATTACAAGACGACGATTCACAATTGAAGACCTGATGGCATTCATAAATCTTGCGTTCCGGTTCGCCATGGTTTCCAATCGCTTTCTGGGAATCGAGCGTCGTACTGAGTCTCAGGTATATGACGAATTCCTAGGAAAATGGATAAAATGAGGTTAAAAATTCATTTTAGGTGGCATGTGATGTTTTGAAAGCTTACTAGATTACAGAACTGACACACTCTGAAAGGGCTAAAGTATAGTTAGAGATATCTGCACATCATAAGGTAATTTAATCAAATAAGAATGGTGACCAAAAAAAAAAATCGCATGAATATGTTAAGAACTACTACCTGGCTTATTAGTTCAGCGTAAAATACTATTTAAAAAAGTCCTAATAAAAATGCTAAATTTCAAAAACTCATTTTGCTTGCCTAAAAAAACTGGCATCTTCAACTATTTCATTCTCGAATGTATGTACTCAAAACAAAGATATTACAGAGAACATAGAACATACAAAAATCACAGAAACCTTCTACCTTTTTTCTAAAAAACAGCACGTGCGATAATTTTTTCACATTAATCATTTAATTCTTTTACTATAGGAACCATGATGATTCAAATCTCTTAAATTTCGTCTCAACAGTAATATACAAGAAACAAAGACTACTTACTTCTAGTATTGTGGCGGGGTAACCTGTAACTCTGTCTTGGTTGAAGTGAAGGTCCTCTACTGTAGAAAAAAAGTTTAAATTCAATACCTTTCACAAAAGCTTTATGCAGATTTAATATATTTATAGACACAAAGCCATGTTCTAAGGAGTTCACCTAAGTGTCATGAACTTCTAGCATGGATTGTGATATGAAAAACTTAATTCGTTATTTTCTATTTGAAATCCATTCCTGTTATATTATCATGATTGAGTAAGCATCAGTGTTTTGACAAAGATTTACTAATGTAATTATAGCTCGATTGGTACAGGCCTGACTAGATATATAGGGGTCCCGGGTTCGATTCCCCGTTCAGCCATGCATTTTCTCCTGTTACAAATTTTGGTGCCGTTGACCACCTCTGGAATTGCAGAGGAAAGTCCTGCTAGGGTATAATTAGAACTTGGATTGTGTCTTCAATTACGAAAAAGAGAAGGCTCACTGGGGGCCGCCACGAAAACCCAAATTATCCCTCAAACTTGAACATAATTTCACCGCCGAAATATGGCTGACATATTGCCGATCCGGCGTTAAACAGTAACAATCAATCAATCAATGACGAAATCTTTTTAAGGAAAGGGGAATGCAATGGTTTGGGTAGTGGATATCGGCTTAGATAGCTCAGATGGTAGAGAACCTGACTAGTGATACAGGGGCCTCGGGTTCGATTCGCGGTCTAACCATACATTTTCTCCTATCCTGTCACACCAAGATTGCTGCTGGTTTGTTTAATGTCCCTTTCGCTCTTTCGGGATTTTTTCATTCATATAAAAACGCCACCACTTGCTGGTGAAGGGCTGCATATTTAGATTTTATGCATTGAGGGGAAGGATTTGTAACTTGCGAGAAACTACTGCGGGACGTGGAGACCAGTCCTTCTGATGAGACCACATTAACCTGAGTGGAGCTTGCACAATAAAGATCCCTAACTGCTACATTAAAAGTGCCTAATATAGGGTCTTAATTTGCTGTCCTGGACAAACAAGTGGTGACTTCTCAATATGAGTGAAAAAAATCTCCATGGGACGTTTAACAGGACATTCAGCAGGATCGGACTTCTTCGAGCTTTGCAAAAATTCCACATTTTCATTCCTGAATTTATCGGGCATACATCTCATTCACATTTTGTTGTTTCTTTAAACCTACAGGTACATGTTTAGAGCTCGAGATTATTTATCAAATCAAAAAGAACAAAAATTGAGCCGTTAACCTTGACTTTTGACACCATTTTCCTATTTTGGCGTAATCACCAAAGCGAATAGACTGGTACACCATAAGACCAACAAGTCCTATTAAGATGACCACGGCTGCAGACATCCAAGCGATATTTCGAGGGTCTTCGGCAAATGTCACATGTCGATCAGTAGTTGAAGTGGGGGCTGTAGTTGTCGACAGGGGAATCACAATAGTTATAGTGGCAGTGTCTGTAAAAAAAGTGAGATGGTAATTAAACAAATTATCTTTCCTTGTACAGTTAGACATTTAATGTTAATATGTGTTAACCATTCCTTAAAGCACTCTTTTACAATTTGATTCAAGGGAAGGTCTACTAAGTGCCAATTAAACTTTAAAGCGTCTATATGAGAGAAAATCATCAATCGTTAAGTTTTGGAAAATATCTCTACTCCGTATTCTGATAGCTTTCTCATGTATTATATAAAAATTATCACTACGGTCGTATTATATCGTATGAAGACACAGAGATAAGTTACTCCATTCTTACATTGCTTTTAAGATTGCTCCATGTATTGCCTACCATTTAATCCCCCCGAATCCGTGACAGTAGCAGTTATACTCAACGTCTGGCCATTTGAAAAGGATGCCAGTTGAGTATTAACGTAGAAGTCTCCATTTGACTGTACACCGAAATACTGGTTCCCAAGACCTGCTTGGTTCAGGGTGTAAGATATTGTTCCTGAATATGTTTAAAAGAAAAATCATTTAAAGCTGATGTTTAACTCACTCTGATGCCAAGAAACTGTTCACTCATATATTTAAATACTTGTAGATTTATAGAAAATCAAATAATCTTATCACAGATGTATTTTATATATTCGCGTTTTCTTTTGATTGTTGAATTTAGATTTTAATACAGAAAAGATAAAATATTAATATATTTAAGGAATCACTGTCTATAGTTAGTATAGTATGCCAGGGCATCAACGTGATGTCCCTTGCATACTATACTAACTACTGTGATTCCTTATATTTCCATTTCATTGTGAAATAAAATTGTAGATTTAGACTTTTAAAATGCGGACATAGATTTAAATTACACGAGGAATCCCATCCCAATTTCAATAGTCCTTGCCCACTGACGTCAAACACAACGGCAGCCGCACGAGATTTTCATGCATATTTGGCCTCCTTAGCGTCAGACTCAGAGACAGATGCGCACGAGATTTGCATGCATATTAGGCATCCTTAGCTCACCCAATGACCTGCCTAATTTACATTCCGGTAGAATTATCAAGAAATTAACTCCGCTAACTTTCAAAGAGTTACCACAGAGAGAAAAAATAGAAATGGAAATATTTAGAAAACATTTACCGAAAGCTCCAATGTCCGCATCAGTGGCAACTATGGAACCAAGAACAGTTCCTACTCCCACGTTTGGTTGGGCAAAGAACGTGTAGGAGGATTGGCTGAAAGTAGGCGTGTTGTCATTTATATTGCTAAGTGTAACTGTTAACACTGAGGTCGCTGATAGTTGACCGTCTGTCACGGTGACATTACACGCGACCACTGAAGCGGTACCGCTTATATCAAGATCGTATTCTGTCGCTAACGAGACGGCAGCTGTATTTGCATCCATATTGAACTCGGGACAGTTAATGCTGTACTTTTGAGTGGCTCCTGTATCCGGATCGGTGACATCAAAAACAGGCGTTCCTACACTACTTCCCGCCTAAATTCAGGGATAAATATGAATTAACATGAATTTTCAATATTGAGTACCGGTATTTCAAGTGTTAAAAGTGCTATCAAATATATTTAAATTAAAATTAACTCTTACAGATCCTTCTGGTCCGGTAAGGTAATAGAGATTTTTCCCAAAAACTGGTGCCTCGTTTAAGTCCAATATGGTAATAGTCAGATTAGATGTTGCCGAGTCAGTGCCATCAGAAATATGAATATTTATTTCAATGGACGCCGTTGTGAGACTCTCAAAGTTGATGTTTGTTGTAGAGGATGTTGAAATTAAACCAGCTAAAATAATACATGATACTGGACTGATATATATAAAGTTATATGTACCATAGTATTGAAAACAAGTCGCACCAACACGAAAGTAAATGATTCATCTTACATACAGTATCACTAGATTTTAGTATTAATACCTATTAGCTGTAAATGTACATACTACAGTATATGGTCATAAATGAGTAATAATTGCATTTTTACACTATATATTTCACTGAAAACCCAATTTTTGTAAAACTTGTTGGGAAGTCAATTTTAGCTCAATTTCCATAAAATTTTCACACAATATCTTGTCACAGGTAATGCACATGTCAAATATGAAACCCCTATCTTTTCTCAATATTAGGAACAAGATGTGTTTGTGAAACACTGATGACCTCGTATGGCAACAAAGCGAAGATTAAACTTTCCTTAAATGAAAGTAAATATATTATTACCCAAAGCAGGGTAAATACGGAATCCCTAGCACCAACTGTTCAAAAGTTATGGCCAAGGATAAATTTTTGAAAGGTAGCTCAAACTTAAAGGTCAAAGGGTCTAAGTTGTTGGTTTCTTAAGAAAGGTCTTGTCACAAGTACATGTAATACACAATAACTAGTAAAATCCCTAAGTATGAAAACCCTAGGCCCAACCCTTCAAAAATGATGGTCGTTTTTTTTAAGTAGGTCAAACTTCAAGGTCAAAGTTCTTGGTATCCAATGAAAGGTCTTCTCAAAAAGATTACATACTGAGTATGTGAAGTATGAAAGGCCTAGCCCTTACCGTTCAAAAGTTATGACAAAGGTTTAAGTTTTTTCATAAGTACGGGAATCTCCACGGTCAAAAGGTCAAAGTTGTTGGTATCCAATAAAAGGTCTTGCCACAAAAATGCTTATGTAAAATATGCAAGTCCTAGTATCTACCATTCAAAAGTTAAGGCCAAAGTAAAAATTTGGAATTATTGTGTAAAAGTGGGTCAAAGTCCAAGGTCAATGTCAAATTTGGTGGTAATCAAAGAAAGGTCTTGTCACAAAAAATACACATATGAAATATATAGTAGTTACCCCATATCATACTGTTGGTTATGTGTAGAACCCGATGGGCGTGGTCATAATGACACGAGGGAGCGTTTATGACCACGCCCATCGGGTATCTACACATAATCAACAGTGTGATATGGGGTAAATGACTTGTACCATAGTTTTCAAAAATCATTCATATGTAAGTAAGCTTAGGAATCGGTAGGACTGGTTCGCGTGATTGAAACAATAAGTGTTTGGTTTCAAAGAATCTGATGCATTTGGATTTTATATGATTTTACGCTTCTTCGTGTCCTTCTGACCACGTCCATCGAATATAGGGTAAGTGATTTGTATACATTTTTTTCAAATTTTGCCCTATACTCGGCACTCAGGGTCATTGAGCAGTGAGAGATATTCTTCCCGTCAACACCCTCTGCGACACGGGACCTCTGTTTATAATTTATCCCAAAGTGGGATTCAACTCCTTACTTCGTGACTCTAGGGCAGGCGCTTTAACCACTGGGCCATGCAAGCGACATAAAAATTAAACATATCTAGGCCCGTTTAAAAAGTTTGATTTATGTAACTGAAAAAAAATAACGAGTTTGGTTTCAATGATATATGTTAATTTGATATGATTTTTTCTCTCGTAAATTACAATCTTCAAAATTACATACATATACTAGTAATCTAAATTTATTATGAATTTGGTTCCCTAACTTAAATTTTTGTAAACCTGATACAAACTTTGCCGTGCACAGTGGTACGTTGATTGAAATGTTTGTTAGGGGTTATATGTATATTTCAATATAATAAAAAATTGATTTTTGATCGGCTAGATTCGCAATCGAAAAGGTTATTTACATGTAAGTACAGTAGTGTACACTTGTTTTTATGTCAAGTATGCACCGTGTCCTTTGTTGGTTATCAAAAGAACGATATATTGGAATCTTGTACCATAGTTAGGTGTGATTTCTTTTGTTAAAGGTGTGGGTTTTCTGTACAAAGAACTATTTATAAAACGATCATGCACGGTTTTTAAATGAAACAATCATAAGGGCTTGTTATACCAAATTTAGGAGAGTAAAAAGGAGTAAAAGTTTTCAATTGTATACAGCATTTTGTAATAAATAACAGTTAAATACGGCCATTAATACTTTAACTTTAGTTAAAAGTGAAGAAAAAAACCTTCAGAAATCGCATGATTTTTTTAAACATTTTTTTAAATAGTGCAATGACCAGGGTGACATTAGCTTAGTAGATTCCAATATATCGTTCTTTTGATAACCAACAAAGGAAACACGGTACATACTTGACGTAAAAACAAGTGTACACTTAGTCTACTGAACTTAAATAACCTTTTCGATTGCGGATCTAGCCTATCAAAGATTTAATTTTCATTAAATTGAAATATACATATAACCCCTAAGAAACATTTCAATCAACGTACCACTGTGCACGGCAAAGTTTGTGTCAGGTCTACAAAAATTTAAGTTAAACTAAGTTCATAATAAATTTAAATTACTAGTATGTAATTTTGACGATTGTAATTTACGAGAAAAAAAATCATATCAAATTAACATATATCATTGAAACCAAACTCGTTATTTTTTCAATTTTTATATCGCTTGCGTGGCCCAGTAGTTAAAGCGCCTGCCCTAGAGTCACGAAGTAAGGAGTTGAATCCCACTGTGGGACATGGAGACCTATAAAGTATAAACAGAGGTCCCGCGTCGCAGAAGGTGTTGAAAGGAAGAAGACCTCTCACTGCTCAATGACCCTGAGTGCCGAGTATAGGGCAAAAATTGTAGCAACATATGAAAAGTTTTGTATACAGATCACTTACCCTATATTCGATGGACGTGGTCAGAAGGACACGAAGGAGCGTAAAATCATATAAAATCCAAATGCATCTTTGAAACCAAACACTTAATGTTTCAATCACGCGAACCAGTCCGACCGATTCCTAAGCTGATTTACATATGAATGATTTTTGAAAACTATGGTACAAGTCATTTACCCCATATCACACTCTTGATTATGTGTAGATATCCGATGGGCTTGGTCATAATGACAACTCGGGAGCTAAGCTCCCTCGTGTCATTATGACCACGCCCATCGGGTATCTACACATAACCAACCGTATGATATGGGGTAACTACTACTAATAAGCTAACGTCACCCTGGTCATTACACTATTTAAAAAAATGCTTTAAAAATCAAGTGATTTCTGAAGTTTTTTTTTCTTTACTTTTAACTAAAGTTAAAGTATTAATGGCCGTTTTAAACAGTTATTTATTACAAAATTATGTATACAATTAAAATTTTTCTCTCCTTTTTACTCGCCTAAATTTGGTATAACAAGCCTGTATGATCGTTTCTTTTTAAAAAAACCGTGCATGATCGTTTTATAAATAGTTCTTTTGTCCCGACTCGATGGGCGGAGTTATAGAAAAGTGTGGGTTATGTACAGAAAACCCACACTTTTAACAAAAGAAATCACACCTAACTATGGTACAAGAAAGTAATAGCTTCACTTAATCAAAAGTTATGGGCAAGGTTAAAGCTTTTGTGACGGACGGCCAGACGAATGAAATTTAATGTCCCCTCGCCTTCGCGAAAGCGGGGAACGAAAATGAGCAGCAAAAAACACTGCAAAAGTATTTTAGAAAAAATGCATTTTCAATGAAATATATTGTGGAAAAGATATCAAAACTCACTTATGACCAGGTATTGTATGCAATAAACCCTCATAAATAAAATTGTTCTGTACTGTCTAGCGCGCGAAGTAGTTGTAGTGTTATTTCAAGGACTTGTCTAAATTTATTCTGAACTTAATTTCTCTAGCTCACAGTTTTTAAACTTACTGTAAGAAAGAGAAAACCACTAATAAGCACGATCCTTTATAGAAGGACAGCCAGTTGCATACTGATAAATCCCTGTGAAATTTGAGTTTGTCGCGCATCGATATACCAATTGAACTCGAAGGATCGTTGTTTCAAAGCACACAGTTTGAGAAAAACTATCTTTGTGATGGTTGATATGAATCTTTTTAAAGAAATGGGTATTTTGTAATTTAGATAAGATGCAATTTTGAATATTACTACCTTAGGACAGACTATAACTGCATATATTTATCATGAACAGTTGAGGACATATTGACAGAAGTAATCTGTTAAAACATTAATTACATTGAAATTCATAAAAAATGCGTACTTGCAGCGTTTGTAGTAAAGATGTTTCCACCGGAAGCTGGAATGTATGTAGTGGTAAATACATGGGTGTCTGTCGTATCTATATCACTGTACGACACCTGGAATACTGAAACTCCTAATGCTGAGTTCTCCGACACGGTTATTGGAGATGCCAATGGTAGATTTGTTAAAATGGGCGCAGTGTTTATCCCTGAAATTATTAATCGTGAAAAGGTCGCCTGCAACAACTAGTGTTAATATAAGAAGTTATATCATACTTTTTCAAATGACCTGCCTTATAAAGAAAAAGAACTTTCAATTTGAAAATGTTGAATATCATTTCTCTTTATAGTTAAACATGATGTTGAAAGTTTTTTTTTCCATTTACATAGTGGAAGAGGGACAGCTTGTGACAAAATGTCAATTAAGGCCTCCCAGAACTCAGGCTACAAACGATCATTCTTTGAAATTATTTGGTTGCTTTCAATCTACATACTGGTTTCTCGCGTTGTCTCTGGCTTAGACCTCATTGTGTTAATAAGTAAGATGTCATTGATTGCACATACAATGTATAACAGGGCAAAATGATATATTTTGATGAATTTTGACGTAAAATAATATTTTTAATATACATCATTTCATTATCTACCGACAAAAACTTCGCCAAACGTTTTAATTTGACCTGCAAAAGAGTAGTTCAGCAGTTATCACGAAAGGGCTAATTGTTTTTTACATGATCCCTGGGGTAGTTTAGGACAACATAGAAGTCAATGATTTTCACAGGAATATGCAGAAAAAAGTATATATGGAAGCATCCTACGGGTTTTGAAAATTCACATTTGCTTGTCTTGATCCCTCTATAATCGATAATAAAAACTTTAATCTTACAATTAAAACAAGAGGCCCATGGGCCATATTGCTCACCTTAGAAGCTTTGACTATGCTGTTCTTTACCAGATTTCCCCCTTGTAATACATATTGTGACTCCAACCTACTCCACTGATCATAATTTGGACAATTTGAAATCTACACTATCCAAGGAAGCTTCCACATAAGTTTCAGCTTTTCTGGCCCAGTGGTTCTTGAGAAGAAGTCGATTTTTAAAGATTTTTCCTATATATTTCTATGAAAAACTTTGAATCCCTATTGTGCCCCCCCTACCCCCGGGGTCATGATTTGAATAATCTAAAACCTACACTACCCCAGGATGCTTCCACATAAGTTTCACCTTTTCAGGCCCAGTGGTTCTTGAGAAGATTTTCAAAGATTTTTCCTATATATTTCTATGTAAAATTTTGATTCCCCATTGTGGTCCCGCCCTACCCCCGGGGGTCATGATTTGAACAATTTAGAATCTACACTACCCGAGGATGCTTCCACATAAGTTTCAGCTTTTCTGGCCCAGTGGTTCTTGAGAAGAAGATTTTTTAATGACCCCATCCTATTTTTGTCTTTTCTTGATTATCTCCCCTTGTGAGGGGACTTGGCCCTTCATTTTAACAATTTAAATTTCCTTTGACCCAAGTACATGTATGCTTTGCACCAAGGTTGGTCAAAATTAGCCCAGTGGTTCTTGAGAAGAAATCGAAAATGTGAAAAGTTTACAGACAGACAGACGGACGGACGAAAGACAAAATGTGATCAGAAAAGCTCACTTGAGCTTTTGGCTCAGGTGAGCTAAAAAGCACATTTAAAAAAAAAACACCACAAAATATTATATTCACGTGAGAGCATATTTAGGAAGTGTAGTATGTGTAGAAACGGAAACAAATTTGTTCCAATTATCCCTATTAAGGTTAGTATGCCGCGTCGAAAATTGACAAACAGAGCTTCACATTAAACAAGTAAAAAATTTAAGAAAATCTTTTAAAACCATCTTTAAACAGTTAAATAGTTATTAAAACATCCTGGGGTGAAGATTCAAGTTTGTTGAAATCACCCCCACCCCCCTACGGGGAGAATGGGCCACACTGTGTGTTTGGTGAAATTAGGTGAAGGCGTTCTTTGTGGAAAAATCTGTTGCTGAGAGACAGCAGCAGCATTTGTACATCGCCTACTGTTAATGACTTTTTTAAATTTTATTTTTGAAATTTTTGACGAAATGAAATGTATTTATTACCTGTCACAACAATTGTTAAGGTTTTTGGACCCACCAGTGATCTACCATCGTAGACGTATATATACAGGTCGTACCCCGCCTCCGTATATCCTATCAAATTATTTGTTGATCTGACATCTCCCGCTAGAAAATACAAATGACATTAGAAAATGCAATAGGAAATATGAAAAATTTAGTAATTATCATATTATGTATTATCATATTATGTATGATACCCACAATGATAAATCGCGAATGGGCAGGTCGGCGAAGAGCATGTCATATTGTAATAAAGTTGATCCCCTTCGGCATCTGATGACGTTACTGTGTAAACGCTGGTGCCTGTTGTGGTTGTGGCGGTTACATTCACGGAGGCTGTAGGAGAAATGGGAGAGATGTTTTAAACCCATTTTTAAAATGTTTTCATGCATTAATGATTTTTGATTAGAATTTTTTGATGAAAATGACCAGGTAATGTATGATAAGAAATTTACATTTCATTTCCTTTTCTGTCTAAAATAAAACAACAACGAAATCACTTCTTCATAAAGCTAGGCGTACATTTGAAGTTAAGAAGTACCTGTTAGATAACAACGTCTTTTTAAAGTAAATTTTGCAAATACGTACGAAACAGATGTGTCAGACACTGTGGTATCTTTTATTTCCTGATCACCAGGATATATCGTATGGACAACTATTTTTTATTGACAGTACGTCGGTAATACATGTATATTTAAATGTCGAGTTGAAGGCAACATTAAGTGTTTTATTCTTTTCACGTTTAAGTTTCTAAACAAATTCTGCTTCATATGAATACAGCATTATTCATGGGCGAAAATGATATTCTTCGGAATTCTTTAAGATCGTTGGAAAACCTCGTCTTTTTACAAAACAGAGAAAGAGAATAGTAATAAATTATAAAAATGACGGGAAAAACAATATATAAATAAATGTTTAAAAAACATGAAAGGAAATAAAAAATATTTGTAAAATTTGTAAGATATTTTTATTAAATGAAAGATGAAATAATTCGGAAGATAATCATTTTAGAAGACATCTTCCTTAACCACTGACATTTAGCTAGGACTAAAGAAAGATTTGTTTTGATTGATGATGTTCAAAATTCTGGATGATACACATTGAATGTGAACCCAAGATGCACAGCTATCGCAATGAACCCATGCATCTGTTCACCCTTTTTCCCTTTCTATTTTCATGCATTGCATTTCATGCAGACACAACATGAAACTTGTTTTTTTTTCTCTTTTGATTGATCCTTCTTTCTGTAAATTTTTTCTCTTCTTTATTTTGTCTCATCTTTAATTTTTCCCCTTTTTGTCGTTTGCCTCTAAGGGACATGTAATTAAGCACCCAATTATCATTTTTTGAAAGATGCAGTCTCATAACTGCAATGGTGTGTGCAAACAAATTGACTAACTCGCGTTAACGCGTCATGAAAATTTGTTTGCACACACCATTGCAGTTATGAGACTGCATCTTTTAAAAGATGATAATTCAATGCATATATTTACATTTTTTATCCCCTGTATTTCCGCATTTCTAATTGTTCTTTTTGACAGAACAGCCTTTGGAACAGCTTATTCCGGAAACGAAAATAGTGCACAATGATAACAGATAACAATAATCAAAGTTTTATTTCGTTTTTCAATCTAAAATGATAAACTATATTTTTTTTCAACAAAGATATACAATAGCTTTTCAATCTAAAATGATAAACTAATATTTTTTCAACTAAGAAATACAAATGAATCGTATAACAGTCATAAATTTTTCGCTTTGTGTGAACAGTAACGGCGTAGGTATTACGTCATGTGGTGATCCGTTCAAAGTCAGCGGAAATCAGCCATATGTTTCACTTTGATAGGTTGAAAATGCCATTGTTGAAGAAGAAATCGCTGAAATATCCCACGTTTGGATTTATTTTCTGTGGTCGGTTAGAAATGTGAACAACATTAGATGTCATATCAATTTCTGTAGGCATGGGACGAAACAATTACGTTTCCTAGACCAGTATCAAGCATTTCATTCGGGGAACGTTGGCACTGAGGACGAAAGGCTGATGCATGATCGAAATAGTGCTTTTTGAAGATTTTTTTCTGATTAGAAGATATGGATTTGTTGTAAGAACGGAGGGAGCTCTAATTTTTATGGTTGCTCATGAACATGATATGGCGAGCTTCATATCCATTATCGTTAAGGCAGGTTATTGCTGTCGCTCTTAGACAGTTGGAATGTACTTTTTCTGGACTCCTGCTGCAGAACAAATTTCGCTCAGACAAATTCCAAAGGTGTGCTTTGCAATAGGCTTGTCAGAAAACCATTTATCGGCATCCATGAGGGTATCTCTGATTAAACAGGTGAGTGGTAAAATTGGGATCCTCTGTTGCGTACATTCTTTTATCAGTGTTGTGACCGTCATCAGATGAAATGCCACCTTGACGATTCTTTTGTAAGGTTTCATGCTGCAATGCATCATATTTCCCAGTATCATTATGATGAAAATTAAAGCTGTTTATTTTCAGCTGGTGGCGAAATTCCATGCCCCTGGTTACAAAGTGTATTGCTAAAAGGTTCAACACTACATTACGCAGAATTACTGGTGATGACTTTGCTCCTTGAAGGTACGTATAGTTTTTATTCAAATCGGCCTCATTAATGACAGCTTTATGTTTTGTCGGCTTAGATAGTCACATCCGTTTCTCTCTTTAAATAACCAATCCAAGCTACCATTCGCAGTTTTGAGTTCTTTTTCATGCACGATATCAATCTCTCTCTTTAAATCTACATTTAAAAATGGCGATTGATCGCAGCTCTAATGTAAACAAGCTAATTTTTTGATATAGTGATTCCTCATCTTGAACTTCACCAGTCTTAGATTTCTTTGGTTTCGGCTTGGTTTGGCAATAAAAACGCCCAGACTGATCGCGAGGGTAACAGGGTCTACAATGTACAAAAGTCGTGTCTATTTGACTACCATTAGCTTCAAGATTCCATTCTGCAAGAAAAAGACATACATATAACATGTGGGTCGTTTTTAAGTTGCCTAATTAACGAATGCAAAAAAACATGGTTTTATTTGTTTTTATATGCATATTCCTGTCAACTACTGGAAGTTAGTACTCATTAGTGTTGGTCTGTGTTATTTACCTTGAAAAAAATTCAGTCCCCATGAAGTGTTTCTTTTGGTGTTGGGGACCTGTCTGGCTTCAAATAACTCAACTTTTCCATGTCTTCAGCTGCTGTTCTTATAAACCTTTTTTTACGTAAATCCTGAACATAAACACAAGTAAGAATTAAACTGATATTTCTAGTCTGTTTTTATTTTTAAATGCTCTACTGGTCAGAGACCAGAAGAGCTTATGCGATAGTAATGCGTCCGTCGTCCGTCCGTCTGTCTGTCTGTCTGTCCGTCTGTCTGTCTGTAAACAATTTTTCAAAATGCTACTCCTCCTACAGTTTTGGTCTGATTTCAATATAATTTGGCACACAAGTAGACTACACTAAGATACATAATTCTGTGTATCGGATTTTAATTTCGATGAACGGTGTTGCCGTGGTTACTAAAAATAGAAATTTCTTTGAAATTCTTTCAAAATGCTACTGCTCCTAACAGTTTTAGTCTGATTTCAATATAACTTGGCACACAAGTAGACTACACTAAGATACATAATTCTGTGTATCGGTTTTTGATTTACGATGAACGGTGTTGCCGTGGTTACTAAAAATAGAAATTTCTGTGAAATTCTTTCAAAATGCTACTCCTCCTACAGTTTTAGTCTGATTTCAATATAACTTGGCACACAAGTAGACTACACTAAGATACACAATTCCGTGTATCGGTTTTTGATTTTGATGAACGGTGTTGCCGTGGTTACTAAAAATAGAAATTTCTGTGAAGTTCTTTCAAAATGCTACTCCTCCTACAGTTTTAGTCTGATTTCAATATAACTTGGCACACAAGTAGACTACACTAAGATACACAATTCTGTGTATCGGTTTTTGATTTCGATGAACGGTGTTGCCGTGGTTACTAAAAATAGAAATTTCTGTGAAATTCTTTCAAAATGCTACTCCTTCTACAGTTTTAGTCTGATTTCAATATAACTTGGCACACAAGTAGACTACAATAAGATACATATTTCTGTGTATCAGTTTTCGATTTTGATGAACTGTGTTGCCGTGGTTACTAAAAATAGAAATTTCTGTGAAATTCTTTCAAAATGCTACTCCTTCTACAGTTTTAGTCTAATTTCAATATAACTTGGCACACAAGTAGACTACACTAAGATACATAATTCTGTGTATCGGTTTTTGATTTCGGTGAACGGTGTTGCCGTGGTTACTAAAAATAGAAATTTCTGTGAAATTCTTTCAAAATGCTACTCCTTCTACAGTTTTAGTCTGATTTCAATATAACTTGGCACACAAGTAGACTACAATAAGATACATAATTCTCTCTATCAGTTTTTGATTTCGATGAACGGTGTTGCCGTGGTTACTAAAAATAGAAATTTCTGTGAAATTCTTTCAAAATTCTACTCCAAATACAATTTTAGTCTGATTATAATATAAATGTGGCTTGCAAGTAGACTACACTAAGAACATAAAGAGACTTAATCAAGGATCATTATTCTATTTATTGCTGTTGAAAAGTTTCAATTTCCATCTGCTTAAGTATATTTCTCTTCCTTTGCTATAAGTATAAACCAGGTGTCATGTTTTTGTGAGAATGGTTTGACTTTTTCTGGTTTTTTTAAATGATGTTGTATTTAAAGTGGCTAGAATACATTTTTCAAACTTTTTATGTTGCCAGAAAGTGAGCTTTCTCAAATTTTGTTTGATATTTGTCAGTGTCCCATTGTTATTATTTTCAGTCTTGGTGTCATTCAGTTCAAAAGTTTTTTTTTAAGAATTAAGTCTTCATTGTCTCAATCAAAAAGGAAATTTAGGATGTCTAATTTCTCAAACTAGACACCAAAGTTCCCAAAAGCCATGCTTAAGCAGCAGACGGTTTGTTTTCAAACAGTAAGTAATTCCTGTATGTATACGCCAGACAGACTTCGGTGATTAGGTCTTGTGTGCTAAGTGATAATTATCACTTATAATTTTATAATGCTGTTTATTAGGGTCAAACAAAGTAAATGTAAATATGTTTCCTTATCTTAGAAATATTTTCTATGAGGCTTGTATTGGCTACTAAAGAAAATATTTTGGTATTCCCTCACTGAATACATAAAAAAGATCTACATTTAATACTCTGGCAAGATGTAAAAGATCATTTTGGGAATGCCAGTGTGAATTCTCTTTGAGTCACCAGATCTTGGATTGCATTTGTAAGAGCCACCTCTGCTCATACATGTGCTATCTCAAAATTTTCGTTGGACACAATTGAGTTTAAAATGCTGTTGCTTGTTGAAGGTACATCTGAAGGAGGATTTGAAGATGATTTTTAAGAAAGGATCTGCTGAGAAGAAAGCCATGCTTACATCTGAAAGTTGCTGACTTGAAGGTGGAGAAGTCTCAGGTGGTACAGCAACAGTTACTTAAGTATTAGTGGTAGATGTGAATAAGGAAGTGAGTTCAGGAACGTGTAGGGTGAAGGCTCAGGCTAATCAAAAGGACCTCTGAGGAATGCTTCTTCCACATGGTGTGCTGACAATTTTTCGTGAGTTTGAAATGCGGCTCGGTAACCTTTCTTGCACCTATAAGGTCTAGAATAGTGTTCAAATTGGAAATCTTTATGGCATTAAAATACGAAACAACAATAGGATTCATCATCGTATGTGTTGTGACAGTGAAAAAGTTTCTCTGGTTTTCAGGTTGCCTTTTCCGGAAACCTTTTAAGTTGTCTTCAACGCATTTTACAAGGAATCCCATTTTGAAAGGAATGTTGAATTTCATCTTATGAACAAGTTGTCCTGTTTTATATTTGAACATGGCCCTACTTATCCTAAAACCAATGTCTGTCGCATTCACAGCTATTTCAACCAGTTTTTTTCTCTATCTCCAGTGATAAAGCTCGGACTTTCCAGGTTCAGCTGCTGATTTTATTTTCCCTTTGCATGATCAATAATTGTTGTTTTAAGAACCTGAAATTCAGCTGCTGCTTTTCTGGTTGAGAGCGTTCTGTCCTGTTTTTTAACTTCATCACAATCCCTTAGTTTGAATAAGTTTGATAGTTGTTTTCCTTTGTTTTTTTGTGTTTTTTTTTCCTGTTTTTTGCCTTTTTAATGAAATTGTAAACAAAATTTATTATTTATGCTTATTTGCTACTTTAAATATTTTCACAGAAGAAGCTGATTGTCTAGCTCAGGATCTTTTAATTAGAATAAAATTTACAATTTAGAGAAAATGTCTTACAATATAATAAAAATAAAACTGAAAAGTGGAATTTAATTTCGTAAATTGCTCTTGTCCAAATGGCTTATGCCACGGACATAATTGGCCACGGATTAATGAAGAGTTTGAAAGACCTCGACACCACGAGATGCCGAATGCTTTTAGCAAATGTAATACCCTGGTCTTCCAAAGAAGTGGTGTCCACCTTGGAAGCATCAAGACAAATATCACAATCTTAGAGAAAGGAAAAACGCAAACTGGACCCTTACTACTCAAAGACGAAAACACAGGACTGATGCCAACATCACAGCTCCATCAAGTATGAATCAACTCAATTTCGACAAGCAGACTCATTCAAGCGCTTTTCATTTTGGACAGGTCAAAACCAAAAACTGGAACTTTTTGATAAATTTTGCTAGAATACATGTAAGTGTTTAAATATGACACACTCGCGAAAACGTATTTTATTCATTTAATGGGTACTTCAACGTAATTTGAACCCTTTTCATGATTTTTTTTTTAGAAGAAGTACATTAAAGGTTCACTTACCTTGTAGGTTAGTGAATACTGGTGGACTGTTTTGCGTGATGTAAACATTTAAGGTTCCTGTCACTGTGTCTTTGGTATCCGTACAGGCGATGGTTATGTCGTATGCATTCACAGAATTATATGACAGGGATGGATTAGCTTGTAAGTACACACTATTTACTGCAAACAGGAACATAAAATAAAATATCATTTTAATTTTTTCTTCACTTGGTTTAAAAAAAATCTTTGTTTACTACATCTTTCCATTACACGCGGAAGCTTTACTTTTTCTTACAAGTGCCACTGGAAATCCTTGTGGAAAATATGGAAGATGCTGGACTGACAGTCTGAATACCGCAGGACACTGTGTCGAATTGTGAGGGATCCGTGGCATTAATGACAAACAACTCTTTCTCTGCTGTCTGACTCTCACTGACATCAACACTGAATGGTAGATTATGTATTTCTGGAGGCTGAAATTAAAAGCTTTTTAGGGTCAGAGAGATGTAGTAAATAAAACCGTCTTTGGTTGACTTTGTCCAGTAAAAGGTAAGGTTTTGATCGCCAAAGAAAATTGTGCAGTTCACATTTTCGGGGGAATTTACATTGTTAATGTCAAGGAGAATTGAACAATTTAAAATCCAAATGCATTTCTTGTATAGGTTAATAAAAGTTTTTACCCTGTTAGTAACAACGACTGCCAAAGTCCCTGTGTCGGAATTTCCACAGCCATCAGTCACTTGGAAGTTAAGATTTGTTGTCCCTACTGGAAGCTGGGTGGTACTTGAGACTTGTACTAAATAATTTCGGGGGAAAATCATGCAAGTTCAATTTTGGACAATTATTTCATAGTATTTCAAAAGCTTTTGTAATATATTAATATGTTAATAATTGCTAAGTAAATAGTATACATCAATTATCTTATCTTGCAAAACAGTATAAAAAATAGTTTCCAAATAACAAGACTGGCAATTTATAGTCAAAACTTATCCAAGAGGTAACCTTTTTAAACACATTTCCTAAAATGAAGACGGGCAAATTTAATAGCAGACGATTGACAAGTACAAGTTACTGTATTTTACAGGCTAATTTCTTAATGTCTCTGATACATATAATTGCTAGTTATAAAAGTTACCTACAAGTATTTGTATCGAACGCAAAATTCGAATTGACAGTTGTCATCGTTGTTGCAAGAGGGTCCAGTGAATCGGGATCAGATACCACCAATGTAAACAAAGTCCCAATTGGCGTGTCATCGGTAAAGGATACGGTCGTATCGAGGTTTGTAATTGATGGGTTGTTCCCTTAAAAAAATCCACATCAACTTTATTTTTTAAAAAAAGTTGCAAACATTTATAAGCAACCACTTACCATTCAAATGATAAGAAATTAAACTTTATTTTTTGACAGTTATTCTGAATCAGTAAAATGATATATATGATTCAGCTATTCAGCAAACAAACAAAATAATACAGATTGGTAATGTCCATACACTTTAAATATTTTCGAATTTCTTGTGAGTCATTTTCTCCCATACATTGTTAAACATGATATATATATACATTTGCAAATATTTTTCTTTGATGAACCCATTGAAGAGAAAATATGTTCAATTCTGTATGAACTTATTAAGATGTCAAAGGTTATAGCGTGACCAAATCGATTTCTTGTCAACATTCTGTCAAATGGTCTTGGGTCTTCTAACTAAAGTTAATAGCGATGAAAAAAAGAAAATACATGTAATTGAAACATATACATATTTTTTCAATCAACAGATGTCAAAAGATCAATAGGTGTGAAGAATGTCCTGAATTCTATGATTTGCCTAAAATCGCACCTTTTTAACCCGAAATTCCTTTGAGGTTTTGTAAACAAAAACAGACAATACCACTACTTTTGACATCAAATATATTTATTTAAGAACTGGTAAAATAGTTAGATTATTCTGGGTAGCGATCATTGTTTTTTTTTTTAATCAAAAACAAAGGATTCCTGAATTGGACTGCTGGAAATCAATGTAAATATTCAAATGTTGGAGCGAGACGAGCTTTCAAGACCAAACAACTTCTAGGTCATTGGGCCTCACAACATAGAAATACGACGGCCCGTTGTGTAATACATGCAGTTTTACTCGAAATAGTATTCTTAAATGTAATTTAAAGTAATAAATAACAACATTAAAAAAAAAAGTTCCCTGGAAAATGAACTTGAATTGGTTGATTACTGAGAAGCCCTTCGGGATTCACAGGATTACATCATGTGATCAACCAAGTTCATTTCCCAGGGAACTTTTTAACGTTTTTTTATTCTTAAGTAAATAACTTAGATAATGAGTAATGAGATTTCATCATAATCTATGTAATATATCCTATGTTTGACAATGTGTGGGAGAAAACAACTTTTGGTTAATATGTTTTTATTTTCTCATATCTATGCAGAATTGTTCAAATCATGACCCCTGGGGGTAGGGCGGGGCCACAATAGGGAATCAAAGTTTTTCGTATACAGGATTGATTGATTGATTGTATACTGTTTAACGTCCCTCTCCAGAATATTTCACTGATATGGAGACGTCACCATTGCCGGTGAAGGGCTGCAAATTTAGGCCTATGCTCGGCACTCGGGGCCTTTGAGCAGGGAGGGATCTTTATCGTGCCACACCTGCTGTGACACGGGGCCTCGGTTTATACGGTCTAATCCGAAGGACCGCCCCATTTAGTCGCCTTTTACGACAATCAAGGGGGTACTGAGGACCTATTCTAACCCGGATCCCCACGGGGGTCGTATACAGGAAAAATCTTTTAAAATATCCTTCTTAAGAACCAGTGGGCCAGAAAAGCTGACACTTATGTGGAAACATCCTTGGGTTGTGTATAATTTGAATTGTTTAAATCATAACCACTGGGGGTAGGGCGGGGCCACTATAGTGAACCCAAGTGTTAAATTGAAATATATAGGAAAAATCTTATTCTCGGGAACTACTGGGCCAGGAATTCAATAAGCTTTTGATGAGAGAAAAAACGTATACAGAAAAGGTATATTTTAACATTTACCACTTGTAAGATCAGCTCTCAAACTGTACTTTCTATTCGTTCCCTGTGCGACAGAATTCCAGGAAAAGGATCCCCCAACTGCCAATGCGCCAACAGACGTTGTTACTCGATATTCATTTGAGCTACCTTCTTTTTTGTACGACACTATCGGTGAGGCTGGGTGGTATCTGAAATCGAATAAAAAATAATTTTTACAAAAACATATAATAGATTATTATAATACTTCTCAAAATCCATTGAAATTTTCGTACAACACCTATTCTCACATAATCCGTCCACATGCAGCCTGACTTTTATGAAAAAAATAAAGTCATTATTTTTGGGAAAAGTCGGTGTTTTTAAACAAACAAAACATTGGAGAATTATTTTTTTTTTTAAATCAGAACTCAACCATGCACGATAACAAAAATATTCAATAAGTTATATAGGTAGGGTATTTTCCTTTGTAATTTACGTTATTGTCTGAGGTCGATTTGACCCCCTATAAAAGTCTTTTTATTGCCAAATTGAATATTAAATTTTATCTGGGTTTTTTAGAACTATGTCTGTACTAAAAAAAATATATCAACAATTTTGTTTTTGCACCAGTCTTTTTCTCTTAATTTGTAATTAACAAATGTTGTTTGCTTAAATCTTAATTTTAAACTGGAATAATTCTGTGCGACTTAATTTTATGGTTTTGAATCCTGAAGAGAAAAGGATTTTAAAATTTACTTTGGTAAGAAACTGTGAAAATTCTATATCATTTCTCCTAATGAAATATATTGATAACGTAAATTACAATTTCATTGCTATTCAAACCAAAAATTAATATTTTCTTGAATTTTTTTTCCACCCATCTAAATGACACAGTATTTTCATACATCCATATAATACCACAAATACTGGTCATTGTTCATCTTTTTGAGAGATTCACAGTAAGATATAATGATAACGTAAGATCTGCTGTCAAATTTATTTTTTCTTTTATTTTTCTAGTTAAGTCTCTCCATATTTTATCTTCTTTTACTCCCTATATGCTTTTTAAATTTCTTCTTTTGACTTTACCATCTCTGTTAAACAAAGTTTATGAAATATAATTACAGAGAAAGGCATTTAAAGTATATTTAATTTACGTTATCATTACTGTAATTTACGTTATGAAAGTTTTGCTTCAGTAAGTCACCAATGAACAGAGATTTATGCGTGAACTATTGCTTCAAATAAAAAGAAGAACACATTGTTTTTAAAAACAATTAAAATTCAGGCAAAAAATGCATTCTTGACGAATCAATAAAGAAATATTTGAAAGTTGTTAAAGGTAACATGTAATTTACGTTATCTGATGGCGCTTTCAACATCAGATTTACATCGGAATTTCGGTGATGTTAAGATGCTCTTGAGAGAAAACCAATAACGTTTCCTGCATGGTTCCGTATTGATGCGACATCTTATTTGCAAGATATGTACCATGTATGTTTTCTACTGATAACGTAAATTACATAACGTAAATTACTTTTTATCAGTTTTATTGGTGTAAAATGTGTACTCGCACAGATCAATGCTCGTTTTGATGTTTTACGTGTTTGGTACGTCAGGAAGAATAAATGAATTAATATGCAAAGACAGTTATACTCGTATTCTTTAAGTATTGTTGATAACGTAAAATACATCCTTAAAACGAACCACTCACCTCTGGTTACAAGACCAATGTGTTTTTGTAAGTATTCTGTCATATAACTTTTCTTTGATACTGGTTGCATTTTATGGACTTTGTTTGATATTCTAGAAGATATTTTATGTTTTTAGATACCCTTTTATGTTATTTAAACAAGTAATAATAATTTGATAACGTAAATTACACAAATTTTGCGACATAGTTATTTTACATTTTTTTAGCTCTACTGGTCAGAGACCAGAAGAGCTTATGTGTTAGTAATGCGTCCGGCGTCCGTCCGTCTGTCTGTAAACAATTTTTCAAAACGCTACTCCTCCTACAATTTTAGTCTGATTTCAATATTACTTGGCACACAAGTAGATCACACTAAGATACATAGAATAGTGCATCCGTTTTTGATTTCGATGAACGATGTTGCCATGGTTACTAAAAATAGAATTTTCTGTGAAATTCCTTAAAAACGCTACTCCTTCTACAGTTTTGGTCTGATTTCAATATAACTTGGCACACAAGTAGACTACACTAAGATACATAGAATAGTGCATCGATTTTTGATTTCAATGAACGGTGTTGCCATGGTTACTAAAAATAGAATTTTCCGTGAAATTCCTTAAAAACGCTACTCTTTCTACAGTTTTTGTCTGATTTCAGTATAACTTGGCACAAAAGTAGACTACACTAAGATACATAGAATAGTGCATCGGTTTTTGATTTCGATGAACGGTGTTGCCATGGTTACTAAAAATAGAATTTTCTGTGAAATTCCTTTAAAACGCTACTCCTTCTACAGTTTTTGATTTTGATGAACTGATTTCAGTATAACTTGGCACAAAAGTAGACTACACTAAGATACATAGAATAGTGCATCCGTTTTTGATTTTGATGAACGGTGTTGCCATGGTTACTAGAAATAGAATTTTCGGTGAAATTCCTTTAAAACGCTACTCCTTCTACAGTTTTGGTCTGATTTCAATATAACTTGGCACACGAGTAGACTACACTAAGATACATAGAATAGTGCATCGGTTTTTTATTTCGATTAACGGTGTTGCCATGGTTACTAAAAATAGAATTTTCTGTGAAATTCCTTAAAAACGCTACTCCTTCTACAGTTTTTGTCTGATTTCAGTATAACTTGGTACACAAGTAGACTACACTAAGATACACAGAATAGTGCATCGGTTTTTGATTTCGATGAACGGTGTTGCCATGGTTACAAAAAAATAGAATTTTCTGTGAAATTCCTTAAAAACGCTACTCCTTCTACAGTTTTTGTCTGATTTCAATATAACTTGGCACACAAGTAGACTACACTAAGATACATAGAATAGTGCATCGGTATTTGATTTCGGTGAACGGTGTTGCCATGGTTACTAAAAATAGAATTCTCTGTGAAATTCCTTTAAAACACTACTCCTTCTACAGTTTTGGCACACAAGTAGACTACACAAAGATACATAAAATAGTGCAATGGTTTTTGATAAGTACAAACCAGTAGAGCTACAGTCTCGACAGAGACTTCTGGTTTAAATTTCACTGTAGACATATATTTTAAAGTGCGAAAATTCAGTATATTTATGCATTATTACATGTAAAAGTCATAACTTTTAACATAAAATATAATTGCTGTGTTTTATTCAGTGGACTAAACAGTAAACATTGACCTTTGCCTGAGCGACAGACTGAAAAGCCACTTTTTAGACTATATACTTGGATCCCAGGGAGATCTTAACCTGTGTATTAATATTTTACTGTGTTGGTTTGGTAACTATAGACGTATCACAAACAAAATACTACAACATTTACTAGTTATTTTTATTCTAATGTAATTTAAAGTGCTTGCGACATCCAAATAGCGCATTTGGACGGATTATGTGAGAATAGGTGACAAGTAAATTCAGTGTTTTTAATTAATAATTGACTTGCATAGAGCATATGAGGATATGCTGAAGCGTTAGAAAATAGACTTTGTTTTTAATGTATTGGATGACATCTATATCTAGCTTCTGTTTTGATATTCGTCGTAGAAAAAAATAATCCCCTCATCGTCCGACTCCCTCTTTTCTGTTTTTCTGTTGGCAAATAAAAACAACCCTATTGGACTCTCGTGTTTTTGCTTTAAAATTCTTGCATTAGTATCGCGATGTACTTGTATTTTCCAACAAGTTCTTCATCGCGGGATTATTTGCTTAATCAGTTTTTAGTATGTTGATATATTGTGAAAAATAAAAAAATCAAATCTATAAATAACAAAAATAATTGTAAAGTTTTTTTCTTCGTATACTTTATCACAATCATAAATAGATCGGTCTCTGCTGCGGTGGAAAATTAAAAAGAATCGTATGAAAAACTTACATGCCAATAAAATCGCCACTCTGAACTTGTATTCTATCTGTTGTTGCGAGTGTAACGTAAACCTCACCGTTTGTTGCTACAAAATGAGAGAAGTAAAACTTATTATGAGAAAATTACTGATGTTATGATAGTGGTGCAGTGTATTTTTCAAGTCTGATACATGTATGTAAAATAATGAGTTATATTTTATTGCCGGTTGACCTAAATTTATAGCGATATTCTTTGAACACGTACATGTATAAAGAGTTTTGATAATAAATGCATACAAGGACATTTAATTCATTAAAGGTGTAATTAACAAGTGCTGTGAAAGTTATTAATCTCATGATTAGCAATCGAAAATTATTAAACATCATACATGATAAACAATCTTGTCTATATTCTAGCAATTTAAATTTTAGTCATAATTACATGTAGTAAAATGCAACTGCATAGTAGGCACTTTGTCTGCCTAATCGCCATTTTTTTTTTCATTGTAAACAAAAAAAATTGATGACTATTGCATATACATGTACATTGTAATTGCTGACACTCATTTTTGGTAAACGAGTTACGAAGACAGCATATATAATTGATTTTTTTTTCTTTATTTACACCTTGTCAAAGTTGTCATAAACGTAATATTGCAAATTATAAGACCTATATATATAGTAAAAAAAAAAATAAAAGGACACTTTGTTAATGATGTTTTTCCTTACATGTAACAGTGTATTGGTTTTCTCCCACTAGTGTCCACGTTCCACCTGCTGGTCGCCAGACTTGCAGATGAACTGTTCCCGTATTTGTCTTGGCGTAGAATTCCCATCCTTTTACAAATCCACAGCATGAAATCTCCATATTGTTACGGTCAAGAAGGATGCTTACACCTGTACATTGTATATTTTATATTTATCGAATCACACGAGGTGAAAGAACAAAAGCTAAAGTATTCTACAAATTTGATTTAACTAGAATATTTTTTTTATTATGTCTTGAACAGTTTTCTCTTTGTTCTGTAGATTTTTCTGTAATGATTTTAAACTTCTTTTTTGAAACTAGACGTGATGGACCGGTTTTCACAGCGAACGAATGAGTTGTACTCTGTAATCTTGTAAAGACTGGTGACGATTGTCCTTAGAAATTATCTTTTTGACTGCAGTAGCATACTCGTTCTTAAGGTAAGGTTTGCGGATACGGGGAGATAACTCTTGCATCGTCGTCAACGACGCCGTTGATCCTCCGAGCGTTTGAAAGCAGCGAAATTGGTATGATAATTTGTAAACATGCACGATCATTCAAATCACGGTGCTTCGGGATTTAAAAAAAAAGTAAATTTCAATCAAATAAATCAGACTTAAGATATGTTAATTTAAGGTAGGACCAAATAGATAGGTCAGTTTTTTCCTCAAATTCAATTTTTCTAAAACTTTGATATTTTGTTCTTGGATACAGAATCTCTCTTTATATATGATATGGAAGAAATTCAACCGCACATTTTTTGCCCACATAGTCTGAAATATGGCCTTTCAGACCCCTGTAAGAAGTTTGTGAAATCAGACATTCGACTTGAGAATGAGCCTTATTTTAGAATTTTCTATTGATGTATTGCAAATTTGTGTAATACTTTTAATAAAGATAACCTTTTTGTTACTTTAAATCAGTAAGTCACATTGATACTGGAAAATTTGGGTAAAATATTAAGTAAAAAAGAACATACATTGTGTCAGAAACTGAAAATTCACATGTAAATATCCGACAGTTTAAGTTTTCTTAAGAGAAAATGTATAATTCAATTTTTACAAAAAATTAACAGAATGATTCAAATGGGTCCTAGAATAAAATGTGTAAAAATAAAGAAAATTGAACCGGTGGTTTCAGATATTTTGGTGATTTAAAAAAAAATTCAATGGCAAAAAACTAAAAGATTCAGTAGATGACGTCACAATATTTGGTCTTTGACCTCTTGATATGACCTTGACCTTTGTAGTACATAAAGAATAGAGACTCCTTATATATGTGTCCAAATATCAGCCCTCTACTATTTATGGAACAAAAGTTGCACTGCATTTTATAACAGACTGTTACATGCTAATTTATTGCACTTAGATAGCGTAAAAACATTCCAGAATGTAAGCTCCCAAATGACCAATATACAGGATTCTCTGATTTTTTCACAAAATATAACGCAAATTTGCCAAAACTTATTATTTTTCTTTCAGGGATCATTCATTGTTGTCAGTATAGTAATATTACTCTTTTTTCCTTTGTACTTTTTTAAGAAATGGGTTAAAATAGAATCCACGGGTGTTTTGTCCTACCTTAAGCCACAGAAAATAAAAGAAATTCATTAAAAACCCATCCGGTGGAAGACGCAGTAACAGATGACCACAGCTACACCTCGCCTCCTGACTATCTTATGTTTCATGGCTGATCAAGAAAATTGCACCGTCGACGCCTAAAAAAGTGAGGAATGAAGAACTGGAAGACGGGTAGAGCTATACGCTCTAGCTCAGCAGATAGACTGTGTTTCATGTCGATTACAGTTACATCTGAGTAACATCGAGAACGAGAGAAGACATGGACTATGGAGTGTGCTGTTTATCAGATGTCAAAACAATGCCTGTGGTGTGTTAAATGACGTACGGACGGGAAAAAAAAAAGAACCACGATACATTCGACGTCAATTCGAAGGTAGCTTTAGGTATTTTTTTTCATTGTACTATCTTTCATATTTTTTTTTTTCAAAAAAGAAAAGTGCTGACTGCTCTCAAGTAGGGTCTGTATATATGGTCTGACCCTTACGCCGGATAAAATGAATCTTTAGATTTTCATCCCCGAATGCCCCTTTCAAAGTGTACGTCTCTCCTTGTTTATTTATTAATTTTTTGCTATCAATAATCTTTAATACGTTTTGCATTATATAAAAACAATGGAAAGTTTGTTAGCCTCAATCACGGTCAAAGTTTAGAGATACTCCCAAAGATCTAAGGGGCTTTGTACACCCTTTATATGACAGTGGACTTAACTATAAATACAGATATAAAAATATAAATACAAATGTAGGCTAATCAGTTAAAACAATTTAATACATTGATATTGTCATCAAATTAATTTTGCATCATTTATAAAGTATCATCAGTTGATTCAGTATTATAAATAGTTATAGATAAATAGTCATCCTTTACATGTAAATATTGAAGTAAATACGAGGGGTGATCAAAAAGTTCGCGAACTAATTGAATAACTTCCATAAAAGAAACAATATTTGGTTTCAGTGTTGTTTTTATCTTAAATTAGTCCTCTCCGGTTTTAATGCACATCTGCCACCGCTCTGCTCATGCGCGAATCACGTGATATAGGCGGTTACGTGACCCCCTCCGTAGTGTTCTGTCACAAAAGCTGAAAGATTTTTCTGAGTTTTATATTTCATAAGTTAAATTTTTTAACAAGGACAGTTCATTTAATTTGTCAGAAATGGTCAAATATAGACAACAGAATGAGTGGATAAGAGTATCCGAAATAAGCATGGCGACCATCAAAACCCAAATGTTCTCTCTCTGGAGAGACTTTTATTCAAGTTGGATAGAGAATAGGTGCCTCCTTTTTATCATAATTAATATGTTTAAAATCTAAAGTTAACTATATCTTAGGTATTTGATAATTATATTATTGTTAAAATATTCAACTATTTTTCAATGTGTAAATTAGACGTTTTTGATAGCAAATTGCTTAATTAAAAACACATCTCTTTTTAAACTTGCTTTCACTAGGCAACATAACAAGTGTCATTTTTAACCATCTGCCTTTCTTTACTAAAACGATCAATCCAATCATTTATAAAATTTATAGGAAGTCATTTGTCTAAATAAACTGTGTACAAATTATTATACGCTACTTCAAAGGGATTTCAAAGATATACCGATTAATTTTACACTTAGACAACTATTTTTCGTCACAAGTGACCTACATAGTGACGTCATTTTCACATTGACGTCACAAACAAGGAGAAAAACTTTATTCAGCATATGCTTTTTATAGAACTTTTGTATGGCTATTTGTGTACCATTTTTTTTTTCTAATCTGAATGGTGGTTTTGAAGATATAGAGATAGTTCGCGAACTTTTTGATCACCCCTCGTACATTGACATGCATTTTATATTAAATTTAATTTTTTCCCCAATAAATTTGAATATGGCCAGTTTAACTGAATATAATGTCACAAATACGAAAGATACAGTTTGATCATTATACACAAATTTCCTAACCCTAATGATTTTAGCGATTTATATAATGTCTACGTACAGTTTGATCATTATTATACACAAATTTCCTAACCCTAATGATTTTAGCGATTTCTGTAAAAATACCCTCCCCCCAAAAAACATAATTTTTATGAAGACCCATAATAAAGCCTTTGTTTCCATGGAAATGAGGTCGGGGACATACGTCATTTCTTAGGTCAGTATAAGTAAAATAATGCAATTACTAATTTATGGATTCTTATTAATTGTTAATTTATAAAAAAAAAAATCCATGCTATTTTTAATAATTTTATACAATACTTCATAAAATATACCAATTTATTTGTTGAAAAAAATAAAAATGAGAAAAATATGAAAACCTAGCTTAAATTTTACATCCCACCAAAAAAAAAACCCCAAAAAACAAGAGGCCCATGGGCCACATCGCTCACCTGAGCACTAAGGGTAGGAAAAAGTAGAAAATGGCTTTTTATTGAAAAGTTTAAATCCAAAAGTAGTCCCATGACCAATCATGGATTTGCTATTTTTTAGAAAATGATTTTTAAAGAATTTTCCTATATATATCTTTAAAAACTTTGGTCGGCCATTTTGGCCCCGCCCTATCCCCGGGGGTCATGATTTGAACAAACTTGAATCTACACTACTTGAGCATGCTCTCATATGAATGATGAATTATGGCTTTGTCATTCTTGAGAAGATGTTTAAAGAATTTTCCTATATATTTCTATATAAAACTTTGGTCGGCCATTTTGGCCCCGCCCTCCCCCCTGGGGGTCATGATTTGAACAAACTTGAATCTACACTACCTGAGCATGCTTCCATATAAATATGATGAATTATGGCTTTGTCATTCTTGAGAAGAAGATTTTTAAAGAATTTTCCTATATATTTCTATGTAAAACTTAGGTCGGCCATTTTGGCCCCGCCCTACCCCGGGGGTTATGATTTGAACAAATTTGAATCTACACTACCTGAGGATGTTTCGCCATAAGTTTCATCTTTCCTGGCACAGTGGTTCTTGAGAAGAAGATTTTTAAAATCTGGCACCAAATTTTCATTAATTCCCAATTATCTCCCCTTGAATAAGGGCGTGGCCCTTCATTTGAACAAACTTGAATCCCCTTCACCCAAGGATACTTTGTGGCAAGTTTGGTTGAAATTGGCCCAGCGGTTCTTGAGAAGAAGTCGAAAATGTGAAAAGTTTACAGACAGACGGACGCCGGACAAAATGTGATCAGAAAACTTCACTTGAGCTTTCAGCTCAGGTGAGCTAAAAACTACGCGGGCAAACTTTATTAAATTCTTACTCAATAATAAAGCTCTTCTTCCTAAACAGATTGATGTATAACATGTGTACATTACTGAAAAAATACAAATTGAAGGGAGTCGCATACCTTACCTGAATATCGAAGCCCTTACCATTTGACGAATCTATAGTATCATCTTTTTTCTTGGGGTCTCCCTCACCAACATTATCACTATCTTTACATTTAGCCCCTGCAAAAGAATCAATTTCAAACGATACATGTGTTATATAAGCTAAATGTAGATGTTTAGTATTACAATTTTAACAACATGCATCCTTTAATTATATAA